TGTGTGTGTGTGTGTGTGTGTGTGTGTGTGTGTGTGTGTGTGTGTGTCAGTTCTTTGCTTACAAAATAAGCATAGAATTACATGCATTCTTGCCAACTTTCACGCATATGTGTGCCTACAAACATAGCAGAAGTTTCTGTATGTTTTCTGTGTGATCGTATGCGTGAGTATATGTAGATGTGTGAGAACCAGGCTGTGATGTCATATGTGGGTCAGCAGAAGGACATTATTGTGTCTGAGCTCTACGGGGGGTGTTAGAGGTCTGTTTTCGGACTCCTTGTGCCCGAGTGGTGCAGCACAGAGGCCCGTCTGTGGCCCGGAGAACCCGAGGAGTGCCAGGAGCCCGCGGGGTGAATAAATACGCCGTGAAAAGTGTGTTAAGAGAGGTGTGAAAGAAATCGGAGGGCGAGACACTGGGTTTTGTGTGGAGCCTTTCCCTCCCCCTCGTCTCCGCAGCACACACGCTCTCTCTTTCTCACACACACACACACACACGCTTACACTTTTCCTTTCACACACACCTCACATGGAGGTTCACAGTTCAAATAAACAGCGGCTCAAGCAGCGGGCTGGGTCTGGTGTAAACAGCGGCGAGTCGGGGTGATTCAATTTCTCTCACGGCACTGCTCTCTCTCTCACTGCTTCCTAATGGACCGTGCTTTAAATGGGGAACGTAGGGGAGCAGCAGTAAGTGGGGAATGAACTGGGTGAAGAAAAAGTTACGGATGGGTAAGGACTTCCATATGACTATCTCGTGAAGAAGTTTGCTCAGATCCGGTATTCGAAACAAGACTACAGTACCTTTTTAAAAGGCACCAGAAGTGATGGACTGAAAGTCTATCTTTGCTCAGAGATGTTCTCACTCTGAAAGTTTGACCTCGGTTTGATAAAAGTTGTTTTATGGGATTTATCTGCTTGTGTGGATTGCTCAATGTGACTCATAACTCCTCCTTGTCTGTCCTTGTGTGTGAGTGTTTTCTGCCTACAGTCTCAGGGCAGCGACCACTCAATAAATCCCCAGGTTCACCGTCTATCAGGCCAGTGATGAAACACAACGCTGGTCTGTCACGTCCTAGAAATGGCAATTTCTTCTCCAATCCATAATAAAGCTTTCAAGATCCTGTCGGGAGAGGGCTCTGGTAGCCTTATTGACATGGTGTGTGTATGTGTGTGTGTGTCTGATCTGCTCATCACCCATCCCTCTTATGTTAAGTTAAACAGTGTAACAAGATGAAATAAGGGGGAAATTAAATTGCCTAAACTTAACCTCAAGATGAAACACTGCTTTTGACTCAAATGTGAGCTTTGAAAGATCTCTGTCGGCTTTCAGAATATGTTCTCTGTGGTTTTATTAGTCTATTGGCTTAAGTGACTCGGTCTTAGTTTGAATCCGATTTGACTTTAATCTTCTTATTTCCTCTTTCAGATTCATCTGTTCATTATTGACATGATGTCATCCAGAGATTATCTCTTTCTTTCTCGTACAACTATTTACTTCCTTTCCCCAATGGCCTGCTGTATACAAACATAATTGCTCCATGAAATGTATACATCTATCTCAAGGCTCCGAGCTGGATTATTTTAGTTTGGTTCATTTCACAGATTTGTGTTTTTGTCAGTGCTCTTCTCACCGATTTGAAGTGAGAAAGCTCAGTTGGGGAAACATGTCCAGTACACCAGTCAGGATTTAGCAACATTTCAATCAGTTCAAAATCTGATGAAGTTGTTCTCATTTGCTGCGTTGCCAAGCTACTTTCAATCAAATCTGATCAAACCATACCAGAACAAGCCGATACAGAATTTCAGGGTAGGGATGCACCGATTAAACTTTTAATTCTCGATACCGGTACTTGGGCTTTTGGTATTGGCCGATAGTGATACCAGTGTTTAATTAATAAGCTGTATGCCTAACTGTGTGCAAGTGACTAGCATCATTATTTTATGTTTAAAGCAATATCAGGCTTTATAAATGTTGCTTTTCTAACTTCGTTGAACAAAATGTACACGTAAATACTTTGATATAAATGTACTGAATTGTTGTTCATCAAAATACTGGTATCCAATACCAGTACATCCTATTTGAGTCGGTATCGGACTCATATCTGATATTCACTGTCGGTGAGTCACTCTTTTAACTCTTAAAAAGAATACTTGCCTTTTCAAATGTTTACTTTGCGTGTTGCTTATTTACTGAATATTTAATGTTAATAGAGATGTGCTTAAGATTTGAAACCAAGTTTTAAGACACTTTTAGTGTGATCAGATTTTTTTGAACCATAGGAACATTACAGGTGTTCAAACTAAATGCACATGTATTTTAATATTTCCAATTTCCAAAAGGCCCTGAATCCTGTGTAGCCTGTATGGGTACGCCTGTGCCTGGTCATAGATCAGTCTGTATGTGTGTGCACATTCATGTGAAGCAAAGTCACCGTTCAAGTTTCAGTCACTAATTAAATGCTCTTCATCGAAAGACTAAAATGCTTTGAACAATGCCAGTGCTGCTCTTACCACCACAAACATGTTGCCACTTGTAGCCAGTCTGAAGCTACAGTATAAATGGGCCAAATTGAACCCGAGGGTGGACTCATAATTGACTATCATGACTCATGTTCAAGTAGCTTTGTTGCTACGCCACGCACAAAAACACAGACGTCCAGTCGGTGTGTTGGAAGAATCAAATTTTGATGTAGTTTTACATGAGCGCAGCGCCCGACTGCTGATACATTTTTGTAGTTTGTTCCTGAGTTGATTGAATGCCTTCAGTCCAAACTCTGTTTGATGGACTGATCCTGTCTGTCGCTGCTAAACCCACAAGCTCCTTAAAACTAAATATTTAAACGTGGCACAGCTGAGTGTCGGGGTTTATTTAACTAAAAGTTTGAGCTTAAACCATTATGGGAGAGCTCTGGAGAACAGTTTAAACCAACATCTTGGCATAGAATATTTTTCACAAATACAGACGATCACAAGGGCAATCTCCATATTCCTCACCTTCTATTTCACTATTTATTCCGATGTTCCTCTGCTCATACTTGACAGTTTATTATTTTTTTTTTACTTGTATCGCATAATATCTCTATATTTAAAATTCCTGGAAGCATCAGACCTGCTCCAGGGGCTTACCAACCAAATTCACATTCAACATGTGTTTCTTTTGTTGCACTTTCTCACCCCAACTGGATATGTTGGTTTTACCTGGCTTCTTTACAAAGTACAGTGTGCACGAACCCTCAAACTCCACATAAAGGCTGTTGTGTTGGCTTGCTTTATGCAGCCCTCTGAAAATAAGTGGTAAGATCATATATCAAGACTACGGCTGCCAAACCTCAATTGTGGTCCAGCTAATGAGTACGCTAATATTTATTATTGATGATGGAACATCTGGTCAGTCGGCATGAGATTGTGGCTACGGGCGAGGGCTGCAAGGTGATTTGTTACAGAGTAAGAACCACAAATACAAGTCAGAAGAGGTTTAGTGTATGGAGCGAATGTAGTGAATGAAACAAAAACCCACACAGAGAGGGAGAGAGAGAGAGAGGGAGAGTCAGCAAATCAGTATCAACACCCACACCACTCATCTGGGTCATGATGACAAGGTGAGGAAGAGGAACATCAGTGGAGGCTGAATGAGAGAGTTGAGTCAGAGAAATGTGCTGCAGGGTGCCGAGTGTGGGAGGTTCGGAGGTGGGTTGTTCATTCATTGAGCCACAAGATCACACTGTATCAGAGCTGTGGCTTTATGAGTTGCTGGTAGAGGAATGAGAGGTTTTTGTGCATTACTTCACTTTAAAAGGAGAACTTTTCAGCACAGATGGAAACAAAGCTAGATCTTGCCTCCCAAATGTCTTTATATTTCTAAGGCACAAACACAGGAATAATAATGTCAAAACATATTTTTCACTGTCTGTTGCCTTTTCTCATATCCCACTGCGTCCATTACAGTATTTCTTTACTTCCTAGAACTGTTGCTCCCTCCTCCTTTTTTTTTTCAAACCAGCGCATGACCTAGTTATGTTTTGAATCAGAATCCACATGTACAGTATGGCTGAGAAAAGCTCATTGACAAACCGCCGTTGTTGGGCACAGCACGGTGGAAATTGAGCTGCGTCGCCCTAGAGAGTGCTGTCTACAGTGCAGATGAACGGTCTAATGGATAGACGAAGGTGGAGGGCTCAGAGTGTGTTTTTCCTCTGTGCTGAAGAGGCTTTGTGTAAGTGGGCCAGGAGGGGCAAAAAATAGCTCCAGTCCCCTTGAGGAGTCGCTCCACAAGGTCACCTCCCTGCCCTGGGCCTTTGAGCATGGAACTAAGTGTCCATACTCTTTCTTTCTTCCCCCTTTCTCTCTCTTTTTCTTTCTCGCTCTCTCCCTCTACTTTCCCCTCTGTGGCTTAATGACTTACCCAGGCCTCTGCACCGGCAAGGTCTCTGCAGCAAGAGTTGAGTTTGTGTGCTAACGAACCCCCAAGCTAATTAGAATTTCAGCCAAGCTGGCAACACTCCTCATTTCCTTGCCATTTTCCTCCCTTTGGACAAATACAATTTCACCCTTCAACCCGCGCAGAATTAATCCAGTTAATGTTCAACACGGGGTGAATAATGGCCACTTATCTGCTGGGAACATGGATACAGAGGGGCTCTTGGGTGGAGGTCCCATAGTGAGCCCCCCTCCCCTCTCACTAAATCTGCTTTCTGGTCAGAGCAGTTGGGCCAAAGTACTGCAAGTCCATGATAGAGGGGAGGTCAGTGTGTCTTCAAAATGACACTGCTCTCACTGAATGGGTTTGGAAACCAGTGAACCTTTATACTGGCAGCCACTTCCTCTTCTTTGTAACTGGATGCAAAGTGTTCACATGAATCATTACACCCTTAATGTAGCGGAAGGACTGTTATCCAACAGAAGGTAAGCAAACAAACTTACTAGGATTAGCTGCTGTGGTTGGCAACATCTTCCGCATCACCTCTCCATTCACTGAGTTTAACACCCCGGTTGCTTGATTTGTTGTTCGGTGTCCTAGTACAGAATCTAGCAATTAAATATTAACTCCATTCTGCTCCAAGTTTTCTTTTAGGCTTTGTTATGCTTGAAACGAACCCACTCGAACAAAGGCCACATTTGAAGGCAAAAGTGTTCATAGCCATTCCAAACAGGCTCGCTCGTCTCCATAAGGCAGGATGAAAATACCGCCTTATGGAGACGAGCGAGACGTGATCAAGCTGAGACAAAAATACAAATAATGCTTACTTTCACACCTCTGCACACCTGGCCAATTGCTGCAAAAGAATGGGCAAGTTTTCCGAATTGTTGGTCTCGGAAAGTTACACATACTGTGGGATAAGACCCCGAAGAACCATCTGCTTTGTGGTTCTGGTAACCTAAATCATCTATACAGCTTTAATGTCTTTACCATTTATCTTTGATTTCTTTCTATTTCCGTCCTTCTCATTGCTGAAGACATGTATGATATGGTGTGATAATATTACCCTCCCCTCAAAATCATGGCTGCCTCAGCCCAGTTGGTTTAAGGGGCTGCAACACAGTTCAGTAGCCAGTTGGGGATCAGACTTTGTGAAGTGTAAATACTTGGGAGTACTTACAAATTTGCTTAAGAAACCCTGTGCAGCACTGGGATAGAAAAGCTATATGGAAGAGGAAGCTGGTTCCCTCTCTCCCCCCCTCAGCATGTCTGAGCTATCAGCTGTTGGGGTGAGTCCCAGCTGCCTCGCGTGTTGACTCTAGAGTGATAGCCATCAGCATTTGCCGCATGAAAGGAGAGGAGACTGGTTTTCCTAAAAAAGCAGATGAGAAATAAAGATGAGGCCATGTTGGATGTTGGCTACATTTCAAATCGAGATAAAGGCATTGATTTATCAGGTGTGTTTTTCTGACCATATCATGCAGTATATAAATCAGTTCCTTCCCTGGTAAGATATGAATAATGTTCTTGTAGGATAAGATCCTTTGAGGCAGTACAACTTTCTTGCATACTTAAGATAGGGCCCCCAGCCTCGGGGGAACATGTATTTACAATATAGCTCATCCTGTGCTTTGATAGAGACAAAAACCTCAATATGCTTATGCATGCTTAGGAAGGGAGTAAACCTGTTTGGCTCACTGTCTAAAATTACCAAGCAGCGTGGGTCTCTGCGCATGCCAGGAGTCTGTGCAGGCAATGCTATCTGTGGTATGTCCCCCAAGCTGGCCTCTATGCTTTTATTCGGTCCTCTCATGGCATTTAAAACTGCTCACTGCAGGTCGAGGAACAGTTTATTGGGGAAAAGGGAATGGCTTATTGGGGTAAATGGCTGGCCCCAAACCATGTTGACCCATTCTGTGGTCGCTCCGAGCAGAGGACACTGTCACTTAGAGCTCCTCGTAAAATCTTGTGGATAGGCCTTTAGTACAGCCTGAGCTGTAATTTATATTCTTGTGTTTGTAAAGGGGCCGCGATTATATGTTCTTATGTATGAGACTCAGTCACAGCAAGAGTCGCCCTGCCACGTGTGAGAGACGACTCGGGGGCAGAAAGACAGCTTTCACTGAAAAAGAAAAGCAGAGCTTTACTCTGACTCAGGGAAACCAGAGGAACAGTTCCTGAAAGGAGAAAAGAGACTGCAGCACTGTCCTGAAAAAACTGAGGAAGTTGTTCACAGCTGCTGGCTGTTTTCAGCAGAAACAGCTAAATTCTTACTTGCGCAGCTTTTCACACGTTATTTCAAAGCAAGCTTTTTAAATATTCCTTCCTGCATTTATTTTTAAATGGTTGTTTGGCCAACCGGCAGCAGCAGGGCACTTTAGGGGAAAAAATATACACAAATCCTGATTTTTAATTACTCTCTTATACCCAATTCCATCCATCCTCCAAGTTGCCTTTTGAAATCTTCCACAAATCTGTTCAGCTTTGATTGCCAGAAAACTTTTGGCAGTTTTTCTGTTTTCTTGACACATTTTGCGTTCCGCAAACATGCAAATAACGAGCAGCATTACCACTCCTACCGCTCATTGTTGGGACAAGAGAAAAGAAATGGCATTACAGAGCTTATTCTCCTGTGAGTCTTTGGGAGATTAAGAAGGAGCCAAAATAGCTGAGATGCTGGCAATCTGTTGGGGAACAGTTGTGCTGTTTATGTTGTGCTTACTGACTGTCATATCAATCAGTCCCCTGCTTTAATTTCCTTGTGGCTGATTATATATTGGTGAGTTGTATTTTGATAATATCAAAGTAGGAAGTCAACTTTATTTATTAAATGCTGCTTGTGTGACTTCTAGAGTAGACTAGAGCATTTTGTACTTGTAATAGCATAACAAATATGTAATGAATGCATAGATGGCTGTAAATGATATATAAACTAAGTATGGTCTACTCTGTCCTCTGTTTATACATATTTTGCAAAAAGGTCAGCCTATTATAACGGGCCCCATAGGTGCACTGCAAAAAGTTTTAAATTGCTACCAAATTGACTTTCCATTTGTTTTTGATTCAGTGGATTGTCATTGGTCTGTAAGCCTTTTGTCCTTTCTCCAGCTAATGTCCGCTTCTTATGTTAAACGGCACTGTTTTGTTTACAGGGGCTCACCTCCCCATGCGGGTCAGCGCCCTGCAGCTCCTCTCCCTCTTCGCTCTTCTTGTCCCGGGCCAGTTGATTCGGTGAAGTGGTTCAATTCACATGCAAATCCCCCCAGAACACCAGTCATTCACGCTGCTAATTACGCCAATGTTGGGACGCTGACTTGCTGACATCACACCGGTATATTAGCATGTAGGGAGAAGGGTCTGTGCGTGTGTGTGTGTGTGTGTGTGTGTGTGTGTGTGTGTGTCAAGTCAACCAGAGAGGGCCCGTAAAACCGGAAGTTAGCGACTCTGACTTGAAACAAAAGCTTCAAATATAAGTGGTTTAAATTGACTATTGGTTTTCAGTCTGTACAGAAATGAATAGAAGTCAACGGCTGTCTGGAACATCTGACAATTATATTTAGACTGTTTCATTAAGAATGATTAGGGTTTGATGGTGAGGTAAGATATTTAATAGGCTAAAGAAATAATTTGGTTGAAAATAATCACATTAAAATAAGGCCTTCTTGGAGTGGATTTTTTTTCTTCTAGATTATATAGCTGTGGAAGTTAATTATTTGCCTCGGACACAGTAGTTTAGTAAACAAAGAAATGGGTCAAGTAGAATCTTAACTAAAGGTCCACTAAGCTGTTTTACCCAGAGCTTTCAACCAAATCGCATGGTCTTCCTCAGCAGAGTGTGCTGTGTTGTCACTGGGCTATCTCTTTGCAACACACTCCTTTTTAATTTGGTAAAATAAATAAAATTATAATAATCGTATATATGATTTAACTTGCATAACATAAAAGCATATGTAGATGTTTAGCCCAAAAAGTGTGTCCTCCAATGGGTACATTTTGTAGATTAAATTATAGTATCCATTTCAGCCAATTAATATCCCAACCCGTTTGAAATTTTGCTTTTATTGTGGAAGTTACAAACAGGAAGTAACTATGTGATTTATGCGCACTTGACACCAGTTTAGGATTAAAGCGGTGCAGTGGGACGGACAGCAGCGAGTGGAGCAGCGCCAGCGCTCCGTGCTTTTACGCAGCGAAAGTCCGCGAGGATCTTCACTCAGAGCCGGCAGCAATAACCCCGCTTCCGAGGAAGATTTGTGTCGTATTCATTTGGATATTCAAATATTTCGGCGGAGTCTGTGTTATTGTTTGGATCTGTAGATGGGGATCTGATTTTACGCACATTGAGTTGGCTCTTCGTCTACGCTTTCTCCTCATTTGCTGAACTGTTTGTGGAGGGCAGGGGTTGACAAAAGGCTTTTAAACGGAGGGGTAAATGTAGCAGAGGGGTGCAGAAACCACACAGCGGGTAAGAGTGGGGTGTTTTCGTGGCAAAGCTGTGGCGTTGGAGTTGTGTGACAAATTCTGCAATGAGGAAGACTCATTTTAAAACCCGCACCACCACAACCAGCATTGAGGTCAGGGCTATGGCTTCCAACCGCCGCAGTTTGTAAGGAGGTAAGCAGCTGATTATTGATCGTGCTTATGTTGTATTTGGAGCCGTTATTTAGCGCGACGGACGATCCATGGTGGGGGTTTAAATGCGTAATGGGAAAGATAATTGAGTCACAAATGTAGGCCAACTATGAAAACGAGTTTATTTCTGACTTTTTCCCCTTTACTCTCTCTTTGAAATATGTTCGTAAAATAGTCGCAGGACAAAATTTTAAAGACCCTTGCCCGATTTAAAGCCAGTGGACTTTTTAACTAAGATGTGCCTTACTTGTCTTCGTCACTTTGCTCATTCATGACGTAAAACCGGGTGTTATTTGGATGTAAAAAAAACAGAATTCAGAGTTGTCTGACTCGCACTGTAGCGTTCTCTCTATAGACGTCTCACCGGTTTATATCCCCCACCCCACCCCCTGAGGCGCAATGGTCAAGCTACTGTGCGCTTTCCAGCAATGCAGTATTTGTTGTTCAAACTCTGTGCCATATGGATTATAGATTGCTTAGTAATTAAAGAGATTCATTACTAACCACCTGTAAGATATTTCATTTGCTCTTCCTTATCAACGTGTTATTATGCTGTCAGTATTTGAGTCTTTCTAGTTAAAGGGTTCTAATAATTTACTGGTGTTTGCTGCAAACTGCCCTGGAAACAAGTGGCATTATTGCTGCTCTATGGCAGTTATTTCAAGGAGAGCATTTCGAGACTCAATGCAGGCTAATTGACCCATTTAGATGGCTACTTTTTAGCAGTGTAAAGGGTCACTGGATTAGCACATGAATGGACTGACTGATAATGAATCGTGTAGCTTCAGCAGCTGGCTGCAGTATCAGTGGGCTACTTGGGTCAGAGAGCAGCCCAAACACCAACTGAGTTGACAGGAGCCTAAACCAACATATTTCTGACATCCACAACTGCCTTTGGAGGGGGAAAAAAATCGGTGCTGCTTTTCCCCACTGACAAGAAATAAAAGTCAACATTATATTCCAATTAAATTCTTACAAGGACTGGTGGGTTTCCTGAGACTTTTTCTCCTAAACTATATCATAAGCCAGTAGACCAAAGCCTGGTGAACACATTCACTAATGATCTGGCACTGTGTTACTAGTGTCTGAGTATGGTTTGAAGTCTGTACTGAAGATGTTTTGGAAGCCATGACTCCCCCTGTTCCCAACCAAAGTAGTGTCATTTTATGGAGCAAGTCAACACTGAATGAATAAGTAATGTGATCAGGCTCGAGTATAGCGTGGCTGCAGTTGAAAAGCTCCCGAGTCTGATGTTACATAAAATCTCTCTGTCCTTTTTTGCTTCCTACTTCCCACACAAGTCCTGTACCATTCACTTCTCTGTTTTCTCATTGTGTGTGTGTGTGTAGGTGTAATACCTATCTCCATTCACAAGTTACTTTCAGTTACATTATACAGCTAAAAGTCCCATCCCAATTCTTGGCTAAGTTTCCTGGCTTTTGGCTCGCAATCAAAAGTTCTTCATAACTGAAACAACAAAACAAATCATGTCAGTGGACTATTCGTCCATACTGGACAACAAAAAAGATTAGCTAATTAACCAACGACTAATAAATATTTAACAACTACCGGTACATCTTCCGCGAGTCTTATGTGCAGTACAATTTGTATGGTTCAATCTCTAAAAACACAGGCTCCTACATTTCCCATAATGCAACTCAATTGCATCTGTAATTATACCCTTCTAAATGCCCACTTCTCTTCAAACCCACACCTCCCATTTGTAATGCAGGCTATATGATGAAAAATGTAAGTTTCAAGCCTAATTTGAGTTCATGTGCACAATTGGTGGCGTGTCTCATTGTTGATTGCCATTGAAAAAATGCAAAGATGCCCATATGTTGCTGTATATTACAGTAGAGACGACTCATCATCAGGTTTAGGCTATTTGGAAACAGAGCAGGACTTTGGCTCTCTATGTTGTGACAGGTGGATGCAGGCCTTAGGTCTGTCCTCGGCAACTTGCTGCGTCTGGTTGTTACTAATTGGCCGCTAATGGAAAACATCTTTGTCGGCCCTGATTCTTGTCGGGAACACCTCCAGTAATGTTCAACTGTGATAAGCTCCTAATGGCTCTGAAGTCTGCATACAGCCAAGTGAAGGCACAAAGACTGTTTGCTTGTATATTTTAAAAAAAAATGGGGCTAATCGTTGAAAGCCCCTGAAATTTCCAACAACAGCTTCAAAACACTGAACGGAAATGTTGTATTCAACAAAAGGCCATTGAAGAGAAAAGAGTTGGTCCTCCTCTTCCCCCACTTCTTCCAGAGTAAACAAAAGCAGAGGCAGGAAAAAAGAAGATAGGACTTGGCGACGGTGTGCGCCCAGCTGTTCTCTCCTCTGTGCTCTCCTCTCTCGTCGTCCAACCTCCGCTTTTGTGCAGAGCTGCCATTGAAAGATGGGATTTTAATCTGGCCATCTAGAGTGATGCCATGGAAAAGCTGCAGCGGTTTTGGAATGAGAGTGGAATGAGACTTCAGCTTCAAACCCTCCAAGGCTATACTTCCTCCACTGGCTCTTGGATAGAGTTGAATGATCAGATGGTTTTCTAAATTTTAGGTTGAATACAGTCTCCTAACCCTTGGGTTATGGTTACAACCCCAGCCCCATCTTTTGCCTTGCAAAGATAACTCTGAGTCAACTTTTGCTTTGCGTTGAAGCACATTTACTAGATGGTAAATCTGAGTTTTAAGACTGCTTGTTTAGCCAAATTTGAGACCATGCTCGCTGAAGATCTTGCAGCAGTGATCTAAAACAATTGAACCAAGACTATGCAACGGTCAGAGGGGCCTATCAGACTCCAGTTACGTATTACAACAACCCGTTACCTGGGTTACAAGGCTAATCTAGAGGAGGAAGGCGATGATAATTAACCCGAAACGGTGAATCATTGTCCACTGACATCATGGTCACAAGGATATCAATCCAACAACAATACCCCCCAGGTCTTGAACAAACCTCACACTCACACTGACCAATGATACTTAAGCGTTTACATCTCCCACGGGGATGAAAGCCCAGGCAAGTCATGTTTTAATACAGAACAAGCCTTTTAACTTCCTTCTCTTTACCTCACAGTCATTTATGAGGTGACAGTGATGCACTTGAGTTGTATTACAAAAGTCCCTAAATGTCTCCTAATTGAAAATCATGTATATTAGAAGGAGAAATCTCGGGGATTAGGTTTCAGTGGAGGGGAAATCCCAGGCATGTGCATGAAGCGTGTTGTAAATCATGAGGGTAGAAGGGGAGGGAAGGAGCAACAGGCCCCTGTAGGCCCACATTATCTCTGCCAGCGCTGATGTGGGGGGGATCAGATGTTTTCGAGTTGAATCACTTGAGGAAGGTCTTCCTCCCACATCTGGACTGAGATAGTGGGTCAGAGAGGTGTGTTTCTGCAACGGTCACAAGCTTCTCTGCCTCCAAATTGAACTGTACAGAGACTATAGGCAGAGATATGTCATGTGTCCTCTCAGAAGGAATGCGGTGTGAAATGCTTTCCTTCAGCTCTGGCTATTTGTATAGTCTTATCACCAAGAGTCCCTTCTCACCCCAAGGCAGAAATAGCTGCTAACCACCTGGCAGCATGTCAGAAGACTGGAAGAGGTGTTCATACGTGCTTAATCCTTTTTGTCTCCGCATTTGGTGTCTTTGTCTTTCACTTACAATCATCATGCTCTCTGCGAGTGTGTGCTCTTCTAGATGTGGGCAAATTTCTCTGTGTGTCAGCCAGTTAATCACCCTTAAATTAGTAATGTTGGTGAAGGTGCTGGGTTGTAATGAGGCAAGCTGCGTCGCCCCAGGCTATAGCATCATGCCGCCGGGACAGGGATTTGCCAAACAGCCTTCTACCAGTCGGCCTGCTTGACAGCTGCTTGATGACTTTGTCTTCCTGAGCTGCTCAGTTTATCATAACCATTAATATTCATGACAATGATATTTGGCCACTTTACGTGGATTCAGTTTCTGAAGCTTGTTGCTTGCCCTTCCACAATGACCGCAGATGCCTGCCTCTCTGCTCAGGGCACTGTTGAAAGCTGGAACTGACCTTAATATTTTTTTATGTTTTCTTTTTTAAGGATTACATGTCAAATGGCCAGTTGTGGCATGTCAATGGGATGTTTTACTTGGAGAGCTACGTATTTCCACGGTCCATCCATTCTATCATCAAAATCCATCAGAGCTAAACTGAATAGATCGAAGTGTTTTGTTAACCAAGACTCAACCCATTGACAAGAAGTGCTCCTTTGACAACAGACAAGGTGAGACTTGGCCAGCTCTCCACATGGTGCTGTCTGCGCTCCAAGCACTTTACACTAAAGGATCCTCAGCCGATCGAGCTGTCAAACCGTGTCCTGAGTGTCCTTAAGCTCCTCCATAAGGCTGTCTGTCAGGCGTCCGTCTGGGAAGGTAATGGGATTGTCTCCCAGATTTGTCCGCCTGAGGGGGCAGCAAGGGTTAGCGGGATGCAACCTTCTGGCCACCCAGTTTCCCTCTTCATGCAGAGACTTATAGCTGTCAAGGACATGGGAATCTGTATGTATGAAGTGTCTCCAAATACAGACGTGGTGAAGGTGACCTTCATTCTAATTTTAATCCATACACTCAGGTATTTAACCCACATCCTCCTCTGCTTTTTGTGAGATGTCACAAGCTCCGTGTCACTCTACAACGAGTAATTCTGTTAATCCCAATATTTTGTAAGACAACACTGCCGAATAGTTGTTTGAGTCTATGAAATATCGCAGCACTCTTTATTACTCTCTGGACACCACTGGACATGAAAGAACAGCTAGCGGGAGGAGTGTGTGTGTGTGTCAAACACTCCTAATGGATGGATACTTTCCACTTTTTAACTGGGTTGGTCTGCTTGACTAATGAGAGTGGAGCACTCTCTTGGCTAAGCATCTGCTATTGTTTCCCGCTAACCTTCTGCATAGGGGAGTGTGTGGTGTGTGTACAGTGCTGCTTTCCATCACTGTCGTTGTCTGTATTCTGCTAATTTCTATAGCCTGTTTGTAATTATATACTTGTTCTTAGTAATCCAGAGGATTGTTGAGCGTCGTATTTGTGGTACCCGCATTTTACTGTGAGAGCTGCAGTGGGAAGCCTTGACCTCTTGAACTGTGTGGAGTTAACATCCTTTACCGGTAGAAGGTCTGCAAACTGACTTCATGCGGTTTTGGACAAAAGTAGAGATTCATGTAATTTTTGAGGGGGCTTGACCATTTCTACAGGCAATTAGGTTGGGTGACGGATTGTACTTTTTTTTTTTTTTTTTTACAATTAGTCTGAGGTTAACTTTTGAAAAAAGCAATTTGGGTTATTTTTTATTTTTTGGTGATTAATGGCAGGCTTCAGAGGTCCAAATAGCAACTGCAGCATGACGTCTTGTTTCTGTTGAAACTCTATCTCCCCAAATGTATTTCTGTTTACACGGTGATTTATTTAACTGAGGGTTTGTTTGCAGCCTTATGGTGGTTTATTCTGAGGTCAAATAACTGTTGCCCTCATTTTTAGTCCGTCTCTCATTGCAGTAAATCTTTTATTAATATGTTCCCATTGAACAAAAGTGTAGTCTACATATGACATTGGCTTGACAGATGCTCTTTGTCTGTGTTTGTCCATGGTAGGAAGATCTGTGTGCACTGTAAGTGTCGCCGTGAGGAGCATGCTGTGACAGCCATGCCTGTAGAGATGGAGAAGACGGTCACCAAGCTGATGTACGACTTCCAGAGGAACTCCACCTCAGACGACGACTCGGGCTGCGCTCTGGAGGAGTACGCCTGGGTACCACCAGGACTCAAACCTGAACAGGTATCAGTATTTTACACTTATCCGGGCCTCGTCACATTCACACTGGAAGGCACCACTGATGTCCATGTCAGACATCTGTTAAATTGTGCAGTTTTGTCAGCAGTTGTCAATCGCACCGGATTGTAGATGCCACATAGTGACCCAACTCATCCACTGTGGTGTGAATAAATCTAAAGACCAGAAACGTTGACTGTCCACATTAGATTAAGCCCACGGATTTGTGCTAAATATTGTTTGTTGTCTAACAGCAGGTGTTTTCAACAGCATGGCACAACTCTAAAAAAATGGATCTAATGACAGTCCTGGGTTAATGTTACAATCGCACTCATCAAAAAGCTCTGATTTCACCGTACATACTACTGTGTGACTCCAGGTAGTTCTCATTTATACACAAAACGATCCAAGTTTGGTGTAAAATATTTTAGCTTTGGAGAAAAGAATTCCCAGTGATATGCACATGTAGAATTCAGTCATACAATCATATGTATTCACATACATACCACTATAGTGTAACCCTGACATTTGGTAAGTGTTACGTTCAAACTGCACCTCACCATATGATTGCTCACCAATCTTGCTGACTGCTCCTTCTGCAGGCGAATAACAAGGATTTTGTGGCTCCAGCAGTCAATTTAATCTCCAATTAATTCCGCCCCCAAACATGTTGGGAGTAGGTTTCATCTCTGTCACAGGGACTAAGCTAAGCCTGAGCAATACACAAACGTATTAAATGGTCCCATGCACATTGAAGAAAATCCTCTTTTACAATACTCCATGTAACTGTATGTGTGCACATGTGGGAGGGTTTCCAGTTTTATAGCACAATAGAAGCGTTTATGGAAGCTGGTTTCATTTTGTTGATGAGCTGAAAGCAATGAACTGGTCAATACAATGTTGGCACAGCCCCCTGTTCTCACTCCCGAGGACTGAGCGCAGCTATTTCTAATCCCCCTCCAGGGTCACATGTCTAACCCTGAAGTCAATTAGGTTCTCGTCTAGTGATGATAAGACCTCAGGAACAGTCGGGCCACAATGAAAACTGGACTGTGCAGTATCCCCGGAGCACAATACCGAATAACCTTGAAAATAAAAAATCAAGAATGTTTTTAACAGCCTACATGAAAAATGTCCGTAGCTATCACGATTTCTATTTTTTCCAACCTGACGTCCAAGTCATTTAAGCTGTGGAAACGCATTATGTGACCTCTCGCAGAGGAGCGGAAGTATGCCTGATGTGGAGCTTTTCAACACCCGGCCTTCCTCTGCACAAGGTAAAGACGGAGGGAGACGGTAAACGCAAAGCTAATCTCCAGGATCTAAACGGTGGGTTTAGGTTTCCCCGTAGGGAGCCTGGGCTGTGTATGAGTCTGCTATTCAGCCAGCGGTGGTGTAAAGTCGCCGCTCTGTAACGAGGGATTTCAGACCACGACTGCTATATTCAATCAGATGTATCTGAGAATTATGAGGGAGCACTCGGTACTGTTCAACTCTCTGTTAGAATTGTAGTCAACAATCGCTGAAATACAGACCTTTATCACCAAACATGGCCATTACTGAGTTTGTTGGAGATGCTATTATAGTGTGAAGGAGGGCCTGCCAACATTCTCTCTCCCACTGTCTCCTCTTGCTCTCTTCTCTCCATCCTACTCGAATAAAATTCAGCGATGTTGCCAAGTTACAACTTGTCAAGGCCAAGAATGTTACTCAGCATTGGCCTGTATGTGTTTTTTTTACCATCACGTAGCAAGAGTTGCAGTCTAATGTTCAGACTCTATTCGGCATGTACCAGGATCATATTTTAATTTCCATTCGATCATGAAGTCTGCTGTTTCAGAATGCTCAACAGCTCTAATGTGGATAAATTAACTTTCAAACAACAAAAAGCCAGTCTAAAATGTACCGAGGCTAGTTTGACCTGTTCTAAAATGGACCTGACAACAATTAGGACTCATTCCCATCAGAGTTAAAGTTGGCATGTGACTCAAAGCGCCGCTGCTCCTAAATACGACCTCACAGAGTTGCTAGCTTGGCTGTGGGCTTTTAGTACATTCGGTGTAGCTTTGATTTCGTGCTTGATTCACCAATCTCATGCCTTTTAACTTTAAAACGCATTGAATTTGTTTTCACGACTGTGTTGACTGGCGATTCATGGGAACTTGCACATCTCAGCAAGGACGTGAGAAGAGAGAGACAGAGAATGAAAACACAGCCGTTAAATCTGCTCACTTCGCTGTGAAAACAACATCCTTCCCACCACGTTTGACTGTAACTACCAGTGTTTTTTCAACAGTATAACATCCATGTCCAATAACCACTGTAAAGTGGCTTGTTGAGAGAATGTTAGGGCTGGTGCCCGGTGGTGTCTTTTCCTCTGGCTGTCTGGCCATTTACAGCAATAGAAACCAGCTGTGTGAAGCCATCGCTCTTGTCACTCAGTTGCGAAGTCCTCTGCTTTAGCTTTTAAAAACACTCCTTTCAGTACAGTTCGAAAATTCTGCCCTGTCTTTAGTTCTGTCCGTCTGCTTTCGATTACAGTTATTATCACAAGCTGCTCCTCCTGGCTCTCACTGCAACTGTGTCCATTATGTGCATGCAAGTGTGCGTGTGCGTGTGTGTATCTGTCTTTAGATCTTTTCCTCGAGGCAATGTGCCTTTCACCTCCAGATTATAACCCTATTGTTGTTGTTTCCTAATTTATCATTAGCAGTGTGTGCGTGTGCTCATCTGGAAGCATAGGTGATGTTTGATTTATCAGTGCTTGACCACAGTTAGTCGTTCATGAATTATCCTGAGATCCCCCCCTGCCGGTGTCCCGGGCCGAGCTGCTGGCCAAGAACCCAGCGTCCCTCGCCAACACCGGTGGAAGCCAACAAAAGCAGGGCAGAAAGAATTAGGTTACACTTACAACACAAGGTTCCTGCTGCTAATGCATCCCAACAACAAACATGCTTGTGCAACGCTTCATGGAAATGCTCTTAATACAGAATGTGTCGCTCAGACAATTAATACTTTAAGATATGAGAGTTTTTGAAAGCAATACATTTTAAATGTTGGTCTCCGGTCTTTACGTACCAATGCGTTTCTGCATTATTCAAGTTGATCTGTTTTTGTGTGACAGACTCTGTTATTGCCAAGGACGAAGCTGATGGCTTCCAGTCAGTAGATCCATTCAGTAGACGGATCAGGTCGTTAAGATTGGTCTGACCTAGTCAGCAGGTATCGATCATGTTCGTCTTTACATTCCGGGCCTTAGTTATGTGTTGTTTCTTTCATTTGATCAAACATCATCTTGTTCATTCTTCTACTACTATTCCCTCTTCGTCCCTCTAACATTTTGTTTTGTTTCCCTCTCGTCACCTCCAATTTTCCTCTTCATTCTTTAACCTCTGTCCCCAAATCTCCATTTATTACCCTGTGGCTTTCGTCGATTGCACCCCCTCCAATCACATTCATATTTGACTGCCTGACCTCTGTTATACCCCGGCCCCCTATTACAGTGTAATAAAAAAGACTGCAATAAATAACAGGGAGATGACACTCATTGTCTGCCGCTGTAATATAAAGAATGTCCAAAGCAATTTCGAATGGCCAGATTAGCATTCATCCTGCTGTCACACACATTTGTGTGCACACGCACTGCTAAATGTATCCATGTTAAGCATGGGTGTGCATGAGTGTTTGGACATTTGACAGGTCAGCTATACATTCCCATGTCAATGTGCAAAGATGGAGAGGTGAGGTTCTGTTAAGTCTCCGCTGGTGGGCCATAAATCATAGTGATTTTCTGTGTTGGTTTCTCCTGGTTGTAGATCCTGTTAATTTAGTCTCTGTACAGTGCTGTAATTATAAAAGACTACATTTACAAATAGTAATCGAGAGTGTATTGAAAATTATGGGTTAGTTTAGCTAGTTTACGTGTTACAGGTATGTTGTTGTTCTTCATCACTCTCATCCCCTCTCTGTCTCTGTCTCTTGCTCAGGTTCATCAGTATTACAGCTCCCTGCCTGAGGACAAGGTGCCCTATGTTAACAGCCCAGGAGAGAAATACCGCATCAAACAGCTGCTCCATCAGCTCCCACCCCACGACAATGAGGTGAGAGTCCAAACTGACCCCCTCCCCCATCACCTCATCCATCCATCTATCCCTCCCTGCCCTCCTTAAGGGCAATACAGAGATAAGAGAAGAGAAGGGAGGAGACAGACACAGGAAAAAATAGTCTGTCCTCTGAATGGTTAGGAATGAGATAGTGAGGTGTTTGTGTGCAAAGCTTCCCACATATTTTTTTATCATTAAACATTACCATACAATGTTGAGATATTGGTGTGATTGCATAAACAGTTGACAACAGCACTAAGAAGATCGATACGCTTAGCACCTCTACACCAACCTGATAATAATAACATAAAATTAATACAATAATTGTCTTTAAATGCTAACAAATGCTGAACTATTGACTTGAGATGAGTGCTGCCTTTGTTTGTGGCAATAATATAAAAGTTTGATATTGCTATATTGACTTTATATAACACAGGCAACCACCTTAAACTTTCTGTGTCTGTATAACAGATCACACTTAACAAATGTATCCTCGTGTGTGTGTGCGTGTGTGTGTGTGTGTGTGTAGATCCGCTACTGTAACGGTCTGGACGACGAGGAGAAGCGAGAACTGAAGCTCTTCAGCACCCAACGGAAACGGGAGAACCTGGGCCGCGGCAACGTCCGCCCATTTCCCTTGACGATGACGGGGGCAATCTGCGAACAGGTAGCTGACAGAAATATCAAAAACATGAATGTTTGTGTCGTTTCTCCAGCCGTCGAGAGACACGACAAGATCAAAGATGATCTGAAAGCCGCCCAGCGTTTCGCTTCGAAATGTCATTTCTGCGTCGCGTCCCGAAACGAGAGTGAATTATTAAGTGTGACAAGATCAAAGGTGTGTCATGTGGTCGATGGAATGAAAGCAATGAATCGTGTGACGGAGATGCTGAACAGCCTGCTGCCATTTCTGGTCTTTGTAATGATGTACGAGAAATGCTTTACGTTGATATATAAAGGGCAGAGATGCAACAGTCGTGTGCTTTTATAACACAGTTGTGACCTTGTCAGTCTCACCTCAAAGTGTAGTTCTTGAGAGGATCTTGAGGTGTTGCATGTGTATGTTGTGTCTCATTTTTCCAGAGAAGGCGTCTGTTAACCACAGACGGTTTCATAAAACGTTAGAGAACTAAGTTACAGTTCAAACTGCTCTAAATCCTCCTGAACATACGTCATAGAAGTACCCGGAGTAGTCCCATCAAATATTTAACGTGTTGTCCACGTTTATTCTTGTAGTGGCCTTATGTGACTATAGAGTGCAATAGAGTGTTCTTTTAACAAAAAAAACACACTATAGCATCCGCTAGCCATTTGTTTTAGTGTCTGTACAACAGGCTCAAGCAAATCTGAGCTACTCTCTGTTGTGTCGGTGCCCCGGGTGGGTAGCTGCTTTATAGCTTGTGTTTCTCATTTGCTCAGCACACACACACATACATGAGGGAACAGATTGTTGGGAGAGTGTGTATTGATTGAATTCCCGACCCCCCCCTTAGCCTCCTTGCATCAGTAGGCTCTGAGCCAGTTTGATAACCTGATTGTAACTTTTGTTCCATCCCTATCTTCCCGCCCCTCTAAATCTACTTTGCCTATCCGACCTTTCCCCCCTGTCTCCTTAGCACTCCCTCTCGTTTATCTTTCTGGCTTCTCTACCTTTACACCTCCACGCCAAACTCGCTCTCCTTTTTACCCTCCAATATATCACTCCATTTTTATTCTCCCCTTTGCTCCACCATCATCCTCCAGCAGCCATTCAACTTCCTCTCTGCGTCTGTCCTTGCCCTCCCCTGCCACACATGTAAACACACCCATGTGCTCTCAGTTTAGTTCAGGATACGTGCGAACTTGTGTTGGCCTGTCCCATACACTCAATCTGTATCAGCACAGATAATGACCGTGTAAAAAGATCCCATAAAATTGGTATTTAAACATTCTCAAGTTCCAGCTTTGTGAAGATGCTGTCTGATAGTAAACTGAGTATCTTTGGGTTTTGGACTGTTGATCGGACAAAGGCAATGAAGACATAACCTTTGGCTTTAGGAAGTTTTGAATATACATTATAGACCAATTAAATCATCACAAATGGTTCAACAATCCCCCCATTCTGCCATTTTTATCAAATCACACTGCCTGTCTCTGGTAGCCCATCAACCTGCTTTGAACAGGAATTACTTCACATTAGGGAACAAATGATACCACCCTATGTTTCAAGATGGCGCCCATCCTTTAATTTTAATGAACGTTCTTTTCAGCGGAACCAAAAAGTGTTTCAGAGTTCCTCAGACCTAATTTGGAGCTCATAAAGCATGTGTATTAGAGTCTATCTCTAGTCGACCCAGCTGACTTCATGCTGCCTCCTCGCTCACATGATTGGGAAGACAATCATTTATTGATTCTGCTCTTCAAGACTTCAATAAATCATTTTGTGTTGGTGACTCTCAGAAATATGTATCAATAGCTTTACAGCCTTTTCTTTTGCAATTATTGTGTAAAGGAAACATGTATTCTGGATGAGTGTCACACATTTACTTAGTTTCTTCATCACTGTCATAATGAAATGGTAATTTTGCTTTGTGATAAACTGTTTAGGTTTTCCAAAAGCCTTTTAAAGAATCTTAGTGTTGTTGTTTCTGGTACTTTGCCTTTATTGGATATTGGACATCTAAGAGGCAGACAGGAAACCTAGGGAGCATGAAAGGTCCACCACTTGGCCACTGGATGCCCAGGTGTACAGATTTACAGTTGAACTACAAAAAAGTAGCTCAGTTATAGAATTTGAGCTCAGTATCGGCCACTAATTAGAATTGATACTGGAAAAGAAAAAAGTGGGATGTAAGTACTAATACAAGCTGCAGCCATTAACTTAAAACTCTCTTCTTCTTTTTCTTCTTCATCCACCTCTTCTCAGTGCGGAGGCCAGATAAATGGTGGCGACATTGCTGTGTTTGCGTCACGGGCAGGTCACAGCGTGTGTTGGCATCCAGCCTGCTTTGTGTGCAGCATGTGCAACGAGCTCCTGGTGGACCTCATCTACTTCTACCAGGACGGGAAGATCTACTGCGGCCGGCACCACGCCGAGAGGCTGAAGCCACGCTGCACCGCCTGCGATGAGGTAGACGCTCGTCACATGCACATACACACACACACACGCACACCTCTGCACATGGATGATCATGTGTTAACACACACACACGTATTACTTATTTGAACATACTGTGCCTGTAATGTGGGGCAGTGTTGGTGGAGCTAATTATTAAATGTTATCACACACAAATTTTGCACATGCCATTATTGGGCCAAACTGCTGTCGTATGATGCTCACAGGCTTCCCAACACACACTGTCTCAATTTAACACATGCAAGGGTTTTTACGGTCTAATGGGGTCAGCTCTCAATATCTTGATCTCCCAACCATTAGCACTGACTTTTACTCTCTGCAAATGGGGAAAAGGACGCTGTTAGTACTTCAAAAGCACCCTGGTGTTTTAACAGCAGCGTAAGTAAAAGTAAATGCACCATCTAGATTTGACTTACATTTAAGTCCCCACACACATTAGCCTTTTCTACAAGTCGGTGACAAAGAGGATGATCTAAGAGTACTAAGCTCTAGTGGAGAAAGCGTTGCCTATGAAAAGGGAGGGAGGGCGAGCCGAACCTTTGTCCTGTCATTTAGTGAGCAGTAATAACCCAACTGACGTTTTACCGCCAAGGACCTGTGATAAACGATGCTCTTTCTTATTTCTCCTTTCTTAGATCATCCTTGCGGATGAGTGCACTGAGGCAGAGGGGCGTCACTGGCACATGAAGCACTTCTGTTGTTTCGAGTGCGAGACTGTGCTGGGGGGGCAGCGCTACATCATGAAGGAGGGACGGCCCTACTGCTGCTCCTGCTTCGAGTCCCTCTACGCTGAGTACTGCGACTCCTGCGGGGAACATATCGGTATGCTGCCGGCATCTATCACTGTTAATACAAACTGCATTAATCACCAGCAGGTCATGAAAAGGAACGCTTACAGAAAAAAATGTAATGCTAAATACATGGATACATGGAAAAATTAAATGGAACATTATTGGGCTGCAGTTTTATTTTAAAGGAGCATGAATGTGTGACCTCATTTTTAGTAACACAGCAGAAAAGAGCTACAGTAGAAAGGCTCTGGCCTGGTTTTTAGCAGTTTATCGCTGAATGATGTCATGGCCAGGCATGTGAGGCGGGGTCACATAGCGGAGGAGCAAAGAGACCTCAGCTTACAGAGCACAGAAATATGTACAGTATATACCATGCAACATGAAACCACAGTGGGGCAAGGGCATTACTGTATCAAGTTACTTTTCACACTCAGGATCTGTTTTTGTCGCAGACCCATGCACCACATGTCGGTTAAATACAAATTTAAACATCACACAACCTGTAGTGTTAGAGGCAAACCTACTGAGAGGAGAAACTGGGGTATTTTTCATATTACCACTTCTTGGCTCACTTCCACCTCCTGTTAAACCTCTGTGTGTGCGTATCCCCCGATAGGATGCCCAGGTGTGATTTTGGCACATACCTCAACAAATTTGCTCTGTAATTATTCGTCAGACAGGATATAGAAAAGTATTTGGCTAAAAAACACAACTGATTATAAATTGAAACCATCAGAAAACATGCTGTAACCAGATGGCAGCCATTAGCAAATAGCTGGTTTTCTTTCTCCCTGCAACAACTGCAGGCACAATCAAAATGCAATGTGTTTATACAATGCTGGGAAAGCTCCATAACGGGTTCGCCCCCAGGAACAGTTAAACTACAGCCTCCAGTTTTATTTTCTCTCTCAACAAGCAACTTGTAAAGTGCCACTATTTTCACATAAAACAACATTTTAAATAACAAATTTCAAGCTCTTTCATATACACATGGTGCTTTGTATTTTAATTGTGTATTTATAAATGAGGCCCATAATCTTATTTTACATAAACCCATCTGTATCTATCCCGCAGGCATTGACCAAGGCCAGATGACGTATGATGGGCAGCACTGGCACGCCACAGAGGGCTGCTTTTGCTGCGCCCGCTGTAAACGCTCTCTGCTTGGTCGGCCCTTCCTGCCCAAGCAGGGCCAGATCTTCTGCTCACGCTCCTGCAGTCTCGGGGAGGAGCCCAATGGCTCGGACTCCTCTGATTCCGCCTTCCAAAGCGCTCGATCCACCAGAGAGTCCAGACGCAGCGCCAAGGCAGGGAAGAATGGAGGCGGAGGTGGTGGAGTTCAGACTGAGAGATTCTCAGGGGAAGTGGACCCACTGTCTTTACAAATGGATCTTCTGAGTCTTTCCAGCCAAACGCCCAGTTTGACACGCGAGCCTCCTGCCTGGCAGAGCCAAGAGCAAGCAGGTGACGGCTATAATTATGAATCCCAGTCAGACCCAACTGTCAACCCCACCCCTCTTCAGCTCCTGAGCCAGTGCAATGTCAGGACTGCCTATATCCCCACCTGCCCTGTACAGAATAATCATCAGCAGGATCACAGGATCAAAGAGAATGGAGGTTTAAAGAGGCCACCCATCTCAGCCATGAAGGGCCACTCTCTGAATGAGATGTGGTTCCAACCGCCAGCTCCAGACGAGTACTATCCACCCAAACTGAGGACCCAAAAGAGCTTCACAGAGGTGTCCCATTGTTCTCAGCACCACAATGGCTTCTCCTCTGACAAGCGCTCAATCAGTTTGCACGGCTTTCAGAGGGACAGGGTAAGAGAGACGGGGCCACCAGCAGCAACCCAGGTAGCAAGAAGCAGGAACCCCATCAATGCACTTAACTTCACAGAGCAACTGACCCCTCTGGAGCAGACCCCAAGAGGATCCATGGAGTCCCTGGCCCTGTCCAATGCAACAGGTGGGTAAAACAGTAGCCGTTAGACCTCTGCTTGGCCTTGTTTTCGGGTTCTAGCACTTTGTTAACATTACATGGGAAGTTGTGTGTTTTTTAAAACAATAGTGTGAGTATTGTTGCTGGTATACATCACAACTTGTGCTGACATTGCTGGCCATGTAATCTGAAATTCAGCTTGACTAAAGTATAACATTTATGGGATGACATTGAATAAACCGCCTACTGACACCAAACTTAACTCTATTTGCCCACAGGCCACTCAGCAGATGGAGGAGGAAAGCGACAGGAGCACCTTTCTCGTTTTTCCATGCCAGACCTGAGCAAAGACTCTGGAATGAACGTGTCAGAGAAAAGTAACATGGGCACGCTCAACTCCTCAGTGCAGTTTCATAGCTCTGAGTCTATTCACAGCCTCACCGCCAGTCAGCCCTACATGGAAATGGATCCTTCCAGATCCTCCCAGTACCAGGTGCAGTACTGCGACCGCCCTGGCATGGGTGCGAGTATGGGTATGACTAAGTTACCACCTGGCTTCACCTTCCAAGAGGAGGATAGGGTGAGTTTGGTGAGCAGCGCCAATGCTGCCCGCCTACCCCCCATCAGTGAGCGCAGGGTGGGTGGTGTCGGTGGTGGAGGAGGTGGAAGGGGAGCCGGCATACGGATGGATGCTCCAGAAGAGACTCCCCAGAGGCGCCGGCACCACCACCACCGCTCCCGGAGATCCCGTCGATCCCGTTCAGAAAACGCTCTCAACTTGGTGGCAGAGCGAAGGGTGAGACCTCAAGAAAGACCACAGTTACGTGTCCGTGAGGATTACGACCGTTTCCCGCCACCAAGGAGCATCAGGGACCAGTTCGGAGTAGGAGGAGGAGGAGGGGGCAGATACCAGCCCCAACCCTTCAGGCAGTGCCCCAGAACCACTTCAGACCTGACTCTTCAAAACCCTGGGGCCAGCCGACGCACTGGCTTGAACCAGTACTCCTGGGATGATTATGATGATGATGGCTGGTGCTCCACTTGCTCTTCATCCTCCGAATCAGAGGACGAAGGTTACTTCTTGGGTGAGCCGATCCCCAGACCCATCCAGCTGCGCTACCTCAGCAACCAGGAGCTCGTCCATAAGTACAACGGGATTGGAGGACCCAACCACAGCGGGCAGTTACACACCCGCAAACGCAGAAAAAGCAAGAACTGCATTATCTCCTAACATCCTGTTATCTGGTAAAGGAAAGTACTCTTTGTCCAGCTTGTGTACACTAACATCTCCCGTCTGGAACAAAAAAATAAAAAAAACTCTCAGTCCATTTATTCAGTGTTGTTGGGTGTTGAATATCAAGTAATTGAAAGTCAGTGATGAATTACAGTCGGTTAACAGTGAAAAAGCAACAGTGTTTGCATGTTTGTTCATTTTAATGTTTCGGAATATCTCCTGAGTATTAAGGCTAACAGTTACATGCGCAGTTCTATCAAGTCACAACATTTATCAAAAGCTGATGTGCAATTTCTTTTTAATCATAACTTCATTTCCATGCAGCACACAAGTGTGCAAGGTAGTCTGTTTGGTACAGCTTAGCTTTTTCACGCAATGTGATTTAGAGACAGGATATACTGTACTATTGTATTCAGGTCATAGTATGTACATAGATAAATGAATTAATAATTTCACTTAAGTTAAGGAAGTCCATGTACATATGGTTGTAAATGAGGCCTCACATATTTTTATATTTTGTATGGATAGAATCGTTTATGTATTAAATATCTATAATGTAGATATAGAATATGACAAAAACAACTTATGCATGTTTTATTTGGCTGACCTGGTCCTGCATTTGGAATAAAGGAGTATTTCAGTGAGTGTTTTGATTGACAGCTGGTGTTTCTCTCCAGAGAATGAACACACATGTGTCTGGGGTTCACAAGAGTGCGTAACAGTCACCTTCTCCCATCTGTTTAATGCATAAATGAATGACAATGTGGTGTAGAGGTTGATTAGGAGCATCACCCTCCACTGGGTTGTTAAACTTGCCTGGTAAATGGGCGCCTTCGTCACATTCAAACAAACAGAGCTCCATTGTCCTGGAAACAGATGCCACTGAAGTTCTGGTTTATTGCATCAGCCTCTGCAAGTTGGAAACTGCTGACAAAGGTCCAGGGATTTAGTTATTGAAATCTGGTGATGCTTTGTTTAAGTATGTAAGGCATGCTAACGGCACAGCTGTAGGGATGGCAGTACCAGTCTATGGGTCCAGACTGAAAAATATCAACTATTGGATGGATTGCCATGCAATTTGGCACGTTCATGTTCCCATCAGGATGAATTGTGATAACTTGCTGGATCCTTTTTAATGTAGCGTCATCATGTCATTGGGTAATGACCAAATACATTCAACTGACAGGTTCAGCTGCACTTAAAGTGTTAATATGGCAAATGTTAGCATCCTTAAATTAGATGTTGAACATGCTAATCATCAGAACGTTGGCACTGTCATTGTGAGCACGCCTTGCTGATATTAACATTTAGCTCAAAGCACCGCTGTTCCCAAATAAAGCCTCAGTTAGCTGCTGACGTAGATGTAACCTTTGGTAAGAAACAAGTAAAATCCTACAACTCAACCCCTCCTGTTAAATTATTGGCAAATACAGTATCTATAAGAGCAGTATCACACCGTAAATTGGATTGCCTCTGACGTCCATGTTGTCCAGGGATTACTGTCGCTATAGCCCCCATAATCCAAACAAACACACACAGACATATGTTTGGAACAATGTGTGTGAACGCCAATCGCTTGATTAAAGGTGTTCAAGCACTAATGCTGTTGACATGATTGGCACATTAGTGAGTTTACTTCACCTAACCTCAACTTCCAAGGCGTGTGCCCCAGTTTTCATGTTTACTCTGGGATACACTCGGATAACTCCCAGACGGGGAGGAAAAGAGTCCTCATTAGCCAGCTATGATACGACAAAACCAGCTGCACAAACATGTGAGATACATTATGTCAGACGGCCGATGGCCTGGTCCGTAACTGTGGACTTCGATTTGCTTTTAGCAAGTCTTCAAACTGCAGCTGCAGACTGTTACTCACATCAGCTGCAAGTTTGGAAGAGTATTACTGCAATCAGTGTCCCTAGATAGACAATAAAACACGCACAAAGTCTTCATTATTGTGGATATTATTGTCCTTGACAGATGAGCTTTCTTCACATCATCATTAACTTAGCCCATACTATTGTTTCTTCATTGGTCCCTTGCCAGGTATTTACCCAAGCATGGGTGTGTTTCCATGTGTTTAATTAAAAGCAAATGAAGGCCCAACAGTGAGGGGTGCCACAGATTGCAGCCATATGCTTCCCGGGCCGTGCCATATTCAAGGTAGCGGATGGTGGGGAGATAATCCTCTAGTTGCATGGATGCTTCCAGTTGTGTCGTACTGTTGACCAAGCTGTGAATTAGATCCATGAGCAGTTAGGTGCCTTTGGGATTAACTCAATTCACAAAGAGTTTACAGTCTGGTGAAAGTCCTGATTTGATGAAAATGTAACACACTGCCGATGTTTGAAGTACTTTACGTCATCACCAGAGTCTATAGCCAGTTTTATAGTCATCAAGTACAATGTTCAGGCTCATAATATGCCGTAGCACTCAGGACATACGTCTGGGATTACTAATTTTGGAAAGAGTTAAAATCTCAGCCTATTTCCTGCTTTTTCCTTCTCTACTCTTTATTCTTATTTTCTACATGCCAGTCAAAAATAATGTTTACAGTGTGCTGATACAAAACTTGTAAAATATAGTATTTTCTATAAAACATCCCCTATGCTGTCTAAATTCTAATTCTGTCCATTTTAATAACTTACTTGATTACTAATGAAGCTCTGCCTAATTACAAAAAACAATGCAGCGTTCTCAACAGAATCAATCATGAAAACAGTTATGTGTTACTTTGTCCAGGTTAATTGAATTGATTGAATAGATGGATGGCTAATTGTTTTTATTTTCAGTCGGAAAAGCAGGGAATAATTCTGGATCCAGTAAAGTAAAACACAAGTGTTTCCCTTTAGTTTTTGTAAATTGGCTTTATTCTCATAATTTATGTGATGACAAAGTTTTCATGTGACCACGCTTCACTGCATGGGGTTGTAATACATAAATCAGTTGAGGAAGCTAATTTTACTTTTGTCTATTGTTTTCCTGTTAATGTTAATTGTCCATTGAATCACATTGACTGCACTCCGGTTTATCGAGGCCTGACAGAGTATGCAGTGTCTGCAGAACAGACAACCATCCTTTCATTAACCCCGAGGTATGTGTCTGCACTGGATAAACAACAAGCAAATCAGGTGACGCAGTAGAAATAGAAAGAGGTCCTCTTTAAGGTTCAGACAAGCCTTGTTCACGTGTGCAATAACCTACATAACGATCTACCTATATATCTGTTGACCAAGCTCCGCCTTTTATCTCTTTATATAGATTTTTTGAGATTGCCATAATATTGAAGAAGACTGTGAGTTAGTCATTAAAAGGGTTGTTCAGCTTGTTTTAATTTTGTCAAATCGGACATTTATGAAAAAATCCGAAATAATTTCACTGAAGACATGGGGGGAAAAAATGATATATTTACTTTTTTGTAAAGTTGTGACCTATATCCTATTCACTGTGTATTAAGGTATTATAGTTTTAAAAATCCTAATTAATATTAGTTAGAAAATATATTTAAAAAACCTGCTTTCAACCATAAAGCACCTATATGTTGAAATCCAATTCAGTTAGAATGTGTAGCAGTTTAATTAACAGCCACACATTTGTTAAGTGTGTGTGTATACGTGTGTGTGTTGCGGCCCAGATGCACAGCTGTCATGACTTGAAGCCATTTGAGTTGTTTTGGGAGACTCTAAAAGCCATAATTACTGGTCTTTAAGAGCAGAACGGCTGCAAATTACAGCTGCGCTGTGAGCAAACTAAAATAGCCTGATTCAATTATTTACAAATGAAGAATGCCAATGGTGTGTTATCGCACACACACACACACATATAACCAGCTTGATCTTACACACAAACTCTCTCACCACACACACACACACACGCACTGGGCTGGTGAATAAGATGCGTGACAGGACTGACTGAGGTCTTACCAGCAGTCTCCCCTCCTTCTGCCTAATCATGTGTGTTCAATTACTGTGGCAAGAATGCACCACAACAATGTCAGTATATCCACAAATAAAGATATCACAGTATACTACTACTTAGGTTGCTTTTTTAAAATTGTTTGGGAGCCTTTTTTGCCCCCCTTGGTTGTAAAATCCCCATATTCTGAAGCTTTATCTGAATATGTCTATAGGAGACTCAATGTTCCTCTCCTCTCCTCTTCTCTTTCTGCTCTTCTCTTCTGTTCTCTATCATCCATGCGGTCTTAACTTCCTACATTCTTTCTGCAAATCTGCACAGCAGACCCAAAATATAGTTATCTCCAACAAGTTCCCTGCTGTTTACATTCGAGCAGCTCCCAATTGTCTGCAAAAAAAGGATAGTGAATGACAGTTAAGTAGTCAAGCAGTATTAGACCTGCAGACCTTGACTAAACCTACTAATCTCGCAATGCATTCTCACCCGCTTAAGCATGACCTTTGCCCTTCCACTGCCCTAAACTGTGACCGGTCAACACTTTGTATCCCACTCAGCTTCACCCCTCAGACTAATCGTGTTTCGATAGACTTGACTTCAAGTTTTTGCAAACTTTTTTGAAAGGCAATTAAATACTGTAAATAAGAATCACAAAACACACTCTGCACCATTAATTAGAGCTTATAATAAGTCTCTGTGGGGCCCTCATTAGGCCTGATTATTGTCTTTCAGCCACACTGAGAGAAAATAGTAACAATTCATTTCCAGTGTTTGCTCAGTCTGACACGTTGCGTGGCGAAATGCTGCCAGGTTTGGGTTAATCCGCAGCTCGAGGGGCACCTCGCCATAATGGAGAATGGCATGCTGGGTACCTCAATGTTGCGTTGCCAGAGGGCTCCGTCTGGTTCATGATTTCAGCCCACTTCACCCCTCCTCTCTGTGGCTCATTAACAAGCTCAGGTCCCAGGAGGGGTCCCATCTGTGTGCCACCTGTACGAAATCACCACCGATAGCAACATATAATGCAGGACACCATTCCCATTTGTTCCAAAGTTTCCCTCAATCATATCACTTAAATGTTCCCTTATTTTATGTCTTTTCTTCCTTCTCTTTCTCTTCCCTCACCTCTCTCTGTCCGTCTGTTTTGCAGAATGATAGATGGATAGACCAAACAGTCAGCCAGTTGTAAATGAGGCAAAGAAGTTCTGTGATGTTGACTTTACAGCTACACATCTTTCCAAGACCTACAACTTATCATTACACTTTAAATGAAGGCAAAAGGACCTTTTTTTTGTGACATTAGCAGTTGTAGCTATAATAGATTAGTGCCTGAGGAAAGTTGTTATGGATAAAAAGGTTTAATGGTTATTTAACTAACTTTTAACTTTTTTCAATATTTGAGGATTAGCATATCCTCTACATTGGTTTTATATAGGAAAGAAAGCTTCTAAAGATCTAAACTCTTAAGACCTTTATTATGTTAGACCCCATCTGATGCTTTTTTTGGTTCTAATTTTCTATTAAGATATTTGCACTTTAGACACACAGGGATCTTAAGTATTCTTACTTTGCTACCTCCTGTTATAAGTCTTATTCCAATCCCAGCACCCATTTTACCAGAGTAGGGGTCACCTTTTAACAGCTTGTGTGTGGCCATTTGTCACAATTCAAATCCAAACCCAAACAAATAGTGGAGGCCAGTGTAGAGAGAGAAAATCCCCTTTCAGGCAAGGATTTTGAAACATGGCAGACGTTATCTACATGTAAATACTGGCCACTAGCAGTCAGACCAGGTGAGCCGAATTCTACCTGACAACCTGACTCCACCCTCCCTCTGGACTCCTGCAGCGTGAGACCATTGAAGAGAAGTCTGTCCACAGAGGCTCGACACGAGGTATTTTCAAATTTGCCATGATTCTACTGTGGCCAAATAGACAAATACAGTACATATGAGCACTATGAAATGCGTTTTACATATTACTTTAAGAAAGTTTTCATGTGCAGAGATTTGAATTGTCCTTCACCGAGGTCACTGAATGGCATCAGTGTGGCTAATTCCTCCGACATCTGCTACTCATCCTCTTCCACTTAGGCAAAGTAGATAATCGTCGGACACAATGGAAGATTTAATCAGGTGGATTTTTTGTGCTTCCTGTGCACTAACTGGCATTGTTTCATTTAATAATCATATTCACTTGTCTTTACACAGAGCAGCATGTGTAGGCCTATTCACTGGCGAAATCAGCACAGGTTTTTGCAGGTCCAGAAATCGTGCAAGTAGACCGAAGAACAAACTTGAGACTTTTAATAAACAGTGACTCATTTAATCTGTAATACATCCGACTCTGTTCACTCTTCTCTGATTTGCAGTGCTGCTAGTGAGCTCAGTGTTGCCAGGTGAAGAGACAAAAAAAGGATGGCTCTCATTTAAACTTTTCTTTGCTATGCATGGGTTCACCACTGGAGGAGGATATGACTTTCCTTTGGAGTCTCTGTGAAAGATAGAAAACGCCTAAAAATACCAATAGGCACTTTAAAAATGATGCTTTTAAAGTGTGACTGAGCGGTGTCTTCTGACGTTGGCCCCTTTTTTTTATTCATCCATTAGATACATAATTTCAAATAACATAAAGACAATAAAAACTGTTTTTACACTGGTGCATAAACCTCAGAAGTATTACATGTAACATGTGTTCAAAGTTACTGAGATACCTCTTGAACTCTGATGATTCATATGTGGCTAAAGCATAATTTCCCTCAGCATCTACACAGAATCTGATACAATATGATAGAAAGGCATAATAATTAATATTCTGTAACCGTCAACAATTTAATCTATACAAAGTTGAAAATTTACTTTCTATCAGCTTCATTCACCACCATTGGATCAGTATACAATGACGTAAAATCACTTCTGAAATCTGTCCAATTTAATTAGTCCTGATTATTATGGGTTACAGTTATTATTGTTATTGCATGTGGACTTGGCCTGGCTTAGTGCAGTGCATCTCAGCAGAAGATTAACATTGCCACCTGTTGATGTAAAGGAGACATTACAGCTGTGGAGTAATCCCACTGAGACCCAAACACAACTGAATTCCTATTTTGTGTTTCTCAAGATTGTTAAATAATAGATACATGTGATTGTCTTAGGCATTCTTTAAATTGGACCAAAATACATTTATTTTGTACTTTTCTGCTTATCATGTATGCACTTTGCATTTTGCAACCGATACAAATACAAAATGGATTCAGGGACAAGTCAGGTCTGCAAGAGTAAACCGCGCACGACTGTTTCTCCAATTAATCCTCCAGTTATTTCTCCTACATTGCAACAAAACAGAGCAGGACATCATACAAGATGATCAGCGAAGCCAAGACACTACTAATCACAGCTCCATTCCCCAATGTGCAGAACAGTGCACAGACTGCTTGGCAGCTGATGAAGCCCCTGTGGCTGCTAGAATGCTGAATGCTGACACAATGCTGTACATTAGCACAATGCATACTTAAGTAAGCATTATACATGTAGCACAATACCTGATGTCCTTTAAAAGAGGAAAAACATTTATAATACTTCAGTCTGAGTCAGATTCATTCATTTAACAGTTAGGAAACACCACAATATACACACAGACACTGTCTACTTTAGAATGAGACTATAACTCTTGAGAGGATGAATTATACATTCTTCTTTCAAATGAAAAGTTGAATTCATTACCCATGAAAGGTATCATTGCTCAATTTAATACACTCAAAGGTGTTGCTGCTACAGCCTTACTTGGTCTGGTATGACCACTAGCTTATGGTGGCTAGTAATAGAACACTTTAGGTCAAAGTTACTGTATACTGGACATTACTGAATGAGTTTGCTTACATAATGACTCTTCTCCACTTGTGCTACTTTGGCATTTTAGCTAAATGCTAAACTGCAGTAGTAGTTTAGCATTATCCCCTAACAGTCACCCGTAGCCACAGTGGCCGCTGTTCAGCAAAGGTTTCATAGTCTCACTTTTAAGAATATGGTATGAGAGTCAAAGAAACCAGTTGAACTTCAGTGTGAGCGTGATAGTGATTAACACAAAGGTCGCCAACATCATGCCTCTGGAATACAACCACCCACTTTGAGCTCAGTCAAATGGCCCTGAGACAGACAAAAGAAATGAAAAAGAATGGATTTCACAATGTTTTGGGACTTTGTTGGACAGTTTCCAATAATTTCATTCCCTGCTGTGGTCACATAACAGACAGCAGAACCAAAGGGTCCAAAGGGAACAGGGGATGATTTATTGCTGGAGACCTGGAGGAAGGAAACTTCTGACCTTTTAGTGACAAAGATTTTGCAGCTGCAGGTGCAGTTGTATCAGGTGTGGGTAGCTCACACAACAGCAGAGTTGCAATGCTCTAAAACTGGTCGCTCTCTTTTTGCAAGTTTAAATAAAACATTAAATAAATATCAATAATTATCAATAACATTGAGTATAATTAGTTTTAAATCAGCTTGAGGTAAAACAATTGGATTTTTCATCAGCACTGTTAAATGATGAACATTAGTACATTAGTTCCTTCTGTGACTTAGATCATATGGAGGAGTAGGAATTAGGAAAGTACAAAGAATAGACATCTGTGACTGGTTCACGCTGCTTGTTTCAATAATCTTTGAAAACTGGTAATGAAGTCTTTCACATATTAAACTCCAAATGCGAAAGCAGTCAAGGTTGTTGGGACACAATTCATTCATCAACGTCACAATTTCAATCTGACATTTCAGCTTCCTGTTATTCCATTGAAGTCAATTGTTGTTTAATTCTGTTGTGTCTTAAGTCAACATTGCATTTAAAAACATGAGCATTTTATGTTTCACAAAAAAATTGTCATACTAAGAATATTAAGTATTTTTTTCTTGAAATATCTTGTATTTTCGAATACTTCTGAAATAATTATCTTGCGTTGCACCCTTACATGTCGTGGACATCATGAGTGACCTGAACAAAGAAATAACAAAACAACAATACATTGGCATTAGTAGCGACACCTGATTATGGACAATGACAGGGAATAAAACATTAAAGTTCATCATTGTTTACAGCTTTGTCTCAGTCATTTAGCTGCAGTGCTACAGGGATTTCCCTTCATCTATTGACTGATGCTTTGGCAATTGATTCAAATACTCGACAAAGCATAAAAATTGTTTCTTTTCACACACAGCCATTCATCATTCCTCTGTCAGTTTGAAACAGCAGTCTACTGTATCTGCCTTATAACTTGGTCTCCACTCTCTTTTCCTCTACGAAGGATTTCCCATAGATGGTGATGGCTCTAAACTCCTTGGAGATCTCCATCATGGTCTTCCCTTTCGTCTCAGGCAGGAGGAAAAAGGTGTAAAGACAAGCCAGCAGGCTGACACAGGTGAACAGCACAAAGCAGTACGAGTCCAGGGCATCCTGGGACAGACGGATCACAGCGTAAAGCATCAGAAAGAGCTTCATGTTTGAATGTTTCATGAAGGTGCTGAGGTGGTTTTTGTCTTTCGGTACAATGTGACAGTTAAAGTTTCTCATGATATCTGAATACCTGCTGTACAATAACAAATGTGCTGTAATTTATAGTTGTAATCAACTAAATGTCACAATATATCACAACAATTAATCCATACTGTCAATCAATGGATCCTGTTCACCTTCAAAAGCAAGATTTGCAGTTGCTTTTACAGTGTAAACTATTGGGTTGCTTGTCTTCATGTTTGTTCTACTCACAATAAGGAATGGAAATACGAGGCCCAGTACAGCGAAGAGCAACCAGCGTTGCATCCCCAAGACTGCACATGCTGTCGGTCGATCGGACTGGATGAAGATCTCACTCTGGAGAGTATTTGAGGTTCCCCCTGGGTGAACCGGAGGGACGATTAAGGTGATTCGGTTCATTATTTGTGCACGCAAACATCTTTTCTATGTGAACCAAACTGCAGTAAGACACAAACCAGGTCCTCCGCAAAAGAAGATGACGAAGAGGCAGATCAAACCAGCAGAAATGTATGGAACCCAGTAGCTGGAATCCTGCATGAAGACAAATTTGTATAATGCGAATATTAATACATACTTCTATACAAACAGAGTAATCTCAATTATATATTTGCAGCCTTTGTACACTGCAGCAATCAAAGCTTTATTTTAAACACATTTTCACAGCTCACATTTCATGCATTTGGCTCATGTGAAAAGGTCAGCTTCAACTTTGCAGTATATTTTCACTTTTACTTAAATTTGAAAAATCATTTCCCACTTACCCTTTGTGAGGTGCAGATAATTCTACCTGCAGAAATTTTGAGGTAACAGTTTCTGAGATTTCTGCCTCCGCCCCGATAAAGAATAGAGGTAAACTGGGATTTAATGTCTTTGCTAGAAAGTAGTTCCAGTGAGAAAACAGTAAAGTCTGTGGTGTGCTGCTTCCATTATTAAGTTGAACGAGGACAACGATGCTGGGAAGAGTTTTTGCCGTTGAATTAATATATTTTTTCAATGCTGTGATTACCATAAACTCATTTCCATTCATTTCCATTGTAACCGGGTAGAGGCAGGAATCTCAGAGTCAAATATCTCAAAGCCTTCAAATCTGCATGTCTTGAAACTAAAATGTTGTCATTTGGTTGAAATGACTCGACTGCCAACTGGAGTCCACGGGGACCCCAAAAGTAAACTACTGTAGGAAACAACCATGATAGCAAAATGTTATGTCACGCAACTATTAGTTATGTAATTAATATCATCAGAAAAAAAACATTTATTAGGAAAATGACAGTGAATTTGGATAATGTGTTAAATGTAAATAGACTGAGCACATGAGGACATTTTTTGTCTGTCTCCTTCAAAACGAATGACAGAGTGCCCCGTCCCCACTGATAGTGCATCATACTTTACATTAGGACCCAAGGCAAACATTTGATCTATCTCTTCTGTTTTATCTTATTATAACTGCATAGGCTGCAATTGGCTGCTTTTGACTGGGGTCCCCCACGACCCCTATACATTGATATTTAATAATATAGTAAAAAAGAACACCAATTAAAAAGGGAAACAATGATATGAAGTCATTAGGAACAAATTGATTGACAAAGTCATGAAAAATTGGAATAATAGACTAAAGCTCCTGTGAGATGCTTGCCAAAACCTCTGGAGGATGAGGGTAGTAAGCACATTGAATATCCTTTAACCTCTCACATGGCTACATGTTTTAGTGTTTAAAGGTAACAGGTTTACCTTCAAATTGAGCGTGACAGTGACCAACACCAAGCTGGCAGACATGAGACCATAACCCCCCCAGAACAACGGCCTCCTCCCTATACGTTCAATCAGCAGCCCCTGGGAGAGGGAAAGGTACAAGGAAATACGTTACGACCTTTGAATGTGCTGAACACAATGTCAACTAGCTTTTCTGCTTCTGCTTTGTCTGTTTACACTTTGCTCTTAAACCCAACAACAATTTTACATCCACAATTTATGCATCCAATATGCCAATCATTTAAATACAGTCAGCCATCTCACATGCTTTTGTAAATGTCGAATATGTACAGGGTGGATGTTTGCCACGTAGGCTCTGACCTCGTCACTTCCCGAAAGAAAACGCCAAGCTCAGCACATCTGGGAGTAGGGAGTGATGACAACTTTCCCCCAAGGTGCACGTACTGTTGACTAAGAGGCTACAGGTGGATGCTGGGATGGAGGTGGGGCTTTTGAAATGCTGTATGAACAGCATAGCTTTAGGTGAGTGCAGCATGCAGGGCAGCACCATGTATATATTATGTTACAGTGAGAAGTGTAGCAGCGGACTCGAGATGACTGTCTGCATTATCGTGTATGCTATGCATTTGCCAAATAGCCATGACTAATGCTTAAGATTCTTTTTTTCCCCATACCTGTGTGTGTTTCTGGCGGTAAGAGTACTGCATACAGACAAATGGTAGCAGTGGCAGCCACTCAAACCAGAGTCTGAGCTAAACAACCAAAAAATTCAACAGAAGATGCAAAGAAAAGATGTCCGAAAGAGCTGAGGCAGTAACTCACACAGCAGATGGAGGTGATGATTTGAGATACTCCAAGACCAAGAGTAACATAGCGGATCTTGTCTGTTGGTATGCCTGCCTTCAGGAAGATGTCAAAAGAGAAGATATTGATCTGGGAAAGACAAGAGCATTGATTTGATTCTGAGAGGTTATAACAATCATTGTTTGATGCTAAAATTAGCACGAGAGAAGACATTTAAGTTCCGTCCTCACTGCAGAATTGCCCGACAGCTGGTTGCAGTAGTAGATGATGGACATGGTGAGAAGCTGCCATCGAACACTCTGGTCCCTCAGGAGTTGCAGGGTGCTTTTTCGCGGGGCTGCCTCCATGGCAGCCTGCTCAGTCAACATCTCGTCCATCTCCTGTCTGTAGTCACCTTGGCCCCACAAACTCTGGAGAGCTTGGATGCAGAGACAAGAGACACAGAAACTGAGAAATGTGCTCCTCTGCTCACATGAAAAACACAATAGATATATTGTGCGTTGGAATGAATGTTTCTTATGCAGAGTGATAAAAAAAAAAGTTTTAATAGTGCTGAGTGAGAAGTTAACAGTCTGACAAAGGCTCTATAATCCAAAATGTGTTGAGAACCAAAACTCACTACACATAGAATTATTAACATTTTAAAACCTAATATACTTTTAATTGTCCCTTAGACGCCTTTACTTCAAACAAAACAAAGCTCGTTAGCAGTTAATTGTTTTTGTGGACAATTAGCTCATCATCAATTATTGCTTGGCAAATTTCAATAAATATACCAACCTTTTTCGCAAGCCTTATCAGAACCTTTCTCTATGAATAAGTATCTGGGAGACTCAGGGAGAAAAGGCAACACTATAACCTGAACCACTGAGAAAGATGCAGGGGCACAGAGGACAAAGTTCCACAGCTCCTCGCGACCAAGGATCTCACTGAATAAAACAAAAGGAAGTGTTTTTTTTTGTTTTACTTAAGAAAATTGCATCTTTATTTACACTTCCTAATATGGCACTATAGCTCTTTTGAGCACAGCTGTCAAAGCTTGATAATTCATTTCTTATTTGTTTGCCTCTCTTTATCGAAATCTCCTTTCCATACAAATGAATAGGAGACTATGGCTTTTAAATTCTCCTCATGAGGATGTGATTAATATTTTGCACATGCTCTCTTGTCTTCCAAAACAATCAAAACATGCCTTCGCTTATGTATTAACAAGAAGTTCATACCTTAGTCCAACAAACTGTCCAAACAGTCTACCAAGTGACAAAAAGATCGCTGAGGTCAGAGTCACATTCCCTCTTATCTTCGTAGGTGAAATCTCCGCCAGGTACATTCCATGGGAGCCTTCCCCCAAACCTGCAGGTCATGAGCGGGTGTAAATCAGTCAGGTAAAAACATGATGTGCTGTGTAAAACATGTCCTGGTGCCTTACCTGAGGAGTAGCCATACAGAATCCTCGCCACAATAATCATTTCATACGATTTGGCAGCTTTACTTGCCAGCATGATCCCTGCTCCAACAATTGCAATGAAGCTGGTGCAGATCATCGCCTTTTTTCTGATAGAGGAACACATCACTTCAAGTCTGTTTAGGCTACAGGACTGGATGCTATACATTGAGTCTCTCACTACTCACCTTCCCAGGGTGCCGGTGATCAATTTGACGCTGAAGGCACCAAAGAATCCCCCGACAGCATACATGGAAACAATGAGGGACCATATGATCGTGATCGTCTGTGGAGGTGGAGGCTCTGCATATCTGTGGTACCAGGTGCTGTTGATGAAGCGCTGAATGTACTGCAGTGAAAAGAGGACATTTTGTAGCTTGATTGGGAAAAAAAGTATGCTCCTTTTTACTTTTCCCTTTTAAACACACATTCTCAGAGACCACCAGTAACTGCAGGTGAACAACAGAATGACCAGAAATGCTGCAAGTGATGTATCTCACCGGTGATGGAGAACTCAATTCAGTACTGTGGTAGCCAGTTTGAAAGCTTCCTCCAATTCCCAAAATGAAGATGAGGAACAGAGCTTTACCACGGGTCTACAAAGCAAAGTGAGTCAGTAAGCAGATGGGCCTGATAGAAGTCATTTTAACATCCTGGATTTGTGTAACTGTCTGGGCTTCTTATTGTGTTACTTCGAGATATTAGACTCTTTTAGAGAAAGGCAAAACGTAACTTCACACTTCAATCCTGAATCCTGAATGATGGGGAAAAGTCCACAGATTTGTGACTTCCTGTTTAGGATACTGGAAACTCAACTTAATGGTGTTCTTTCATCACCTCCTTTAATGGAACCTAGTCTATAAGAGTCATTTTAATTGTACACCAGATCACAAAACCTTTTCGTTTTTTACAAAAATGGCGGAAGGAAGTACAGTATATAGCTAAAACTACATTGTCTGGAAAAAAAAACAGGTGGCATCTTTATAAGGCAAATATATTTGTGTAAAATTAAACACTAAATTGATAAGCAGCTTTCAAAATATGCTCTTATCCTAATCATCACCTTTGAAATAAGGACCACTCAGTGTGTAACTCTGCGACTAATCTGATCATCAGAACGACTGATGATCTGTGGTACCAATATGAAATAACAACCGCTTTCATGATCTCAATTAAAAGCACATTAAGGGATTGGATATTTAGAAATGATTTGATTTTTTTATACTTGGTAAATGCCATTTAACCTATATCGATCCGCATTTAAAGTCAATATGGCCCTGTGTTTCCACACTTACTGAAACTAAAACTGTAACTCTTGTGTGAGAAACTCTGATCCCAGATCAGGATCTTTCTCACCCCGCTTCTATATCCAATAAAACATCATTCATTTTGTCTTAGCTTAGCTCTAAATGTGTTGAGTGTAGTTTGTTTGTAATGAATGAAGAATAAAGAGTTATTCAGAAACTGACAGAGCGCAATGACTCAGCTAAAACTGAGTCACTGAACTTGACAAACTCAAAAACAACCTGCTTGCCTCAAACAACATTTTTTTTCCTTCCATGTACTTCGTTAATAAAAGTTTGTTATAGGGATAAAGCATAATGTTAGATAAATACAGTATAAAAATGATTCAGTAGAATTCAGTAAAAGCCTACCAGCTGTTGTAGAAAAGTTTCCATCCTGTCTTTACTGGCGTGGACCTTAAAGTACAGACTGAACGGACTCTTTTAAGTTGTTCCGGCTGGTTATCATTAACTTTTCAGACTCTGACTAGAAATAATGTAACCGATCATGCTGTTCACCAAACAGTGACTCTGCTTTTGTGAGAAACTCATGTGCCCGGTGGAGTGGACAGATGTTACTGTGCAAAACAATTGATCTGATCAAGTTTGCTTTGGTTATGAACCATTACTGCTAGAATTTTTGGGTTTGGTATCTGGTCATATGTCAAACTCAGTGCTTTGGCATATTTCTCATTTAGACTTTAGTTAGACCTGGCCTATATGTCTTTGGACTGTGGAAGCATACATGGGGAGAGGAAACAAACTCCAGAGAAAAATAACTTGAAAGAAACAGTGCTATCCTTTAATGATGATTAACATTGCATACAAGATGTTGAAACGCCAACCTTAGAATACAAACATGTAAATGATGGTACCAGGGGAATTATATGGTAATCATTACCCGGACCACCCTCTCCACCACCTACTGCAGGGACAGCGGAGCACTACCTCCAACAGACTCATCCAGCTCTGTGGTCAGAAGGACAGATACAGGAGATCATTCCTATCCACTGCAATAACACTGTACAATAAATCCCCTCTGGCCAAATCATTCACAAAACTATCACACCGTTACACTGTTGTTGTTGTTTGTTGTTTGGTTAAATCTTTGCACTATGCTGTTTAGTTTATTTAGTTTATTTAATATTATTCTATTTCATTGTATAAATTGTGCATTTGATATTTGCATTTTTGCAAGTATGAACAGGTCAAATACATTTTTGGAAAAACATTTTGCTTTTTCTTTGTGAATTTTTTTTGGTAGTGGAATTTAAATTTATAATTTTATTAACATCCTTTGGAGCATGTATTGTATCAAGTCCTGTTAGTAAGATAATATAAGAAAACTTAATCCTTTATTAGTCCCGCAGTGGGGAAATTTACAGGATTACAGCAGCATAGTGCAAACAAGAGACATAGCGAAAAACAATGTATCAAAACAAGTATTAGGAATAAGTAATAATAATAATAAAACAGTAAAGAATATTAAATATAAAAAAGTAAAAAATCCACAATAACTAAAATATTATATATACATACAGAATAATTGTTGTGTTGCAATATTAGATATACAGACAGTTGCAATATCATATATACAGACCGGATAATTGTCGTATATCTATTACAAATATTAAGTAATTTGATTTTTTTGTATAGTATATAGCCTAGGAGTACATGCCTACTGTACATAACATTCGTGTGTGGGTGTGCTCACACTCATGTCCAGCAGGGGGCAGTAAACGATAGCGTGGTTATTAAACGTAAGCTTGTTCGCCGCTCTTTCCTTCCCTCGTTGACTGACGCTGTGGCGGAAACTAACTCAGTCTAGTGTTTTCCGTAGTCATCGTTAACTAAGGCTAGCTGACAACGGCGAATAGTGAACCCTCTCTCTGCACAAAGAAAGCCTTCCGTTTGTGTCTTTGTATCTAACCGTCCGAACCAGAAATGCCGCAAGAAAACCTGGAGGAAGAGGGTCTGCCCAAGAACCCCGACCTGAGGATAGCACAGCTGAAGTTTCTGCTCACTATGGACGGTCACCGACAGGACGTCAAAGTGAAGACCGAGCTCATGGACGCTATCACAGCTAACAGTGAGTTAGCATATCACACTGCGTTATGCGACGTGTAACGGTAGCTTTATAGTAGCGTGGTCACGATAAACATGGTGCTGAAATGAATGTTTGCACACACGTGTTGTATTAGGTGCTTTATTGGCTCGTAGACGCTGACAAATTACAAAAATGTATAACGATCATCTCAACCACATTAGCATGCTAGCTGACGCTACGAGCAGACGTCTGCTAACGTTAGCAGACAACCTGACGAAGGGTTGTTTGTCAAACTTTGCGCCACCTGTATTTTTAATTCTCTCACTTTTTAAAATTCTGTGTAGTGTAGTTAGTCTTCCACGAGAAAGTACAGTGAATTATATAAAATAGGCTGCTTATTGTTTCTACATTAAATGTGTTTTGTTTTGAGGAAACGTCAACATGAAGCCTCACGTAGTCGTAAATATGAGATGCATAAGATGTAAGCTGTCATATAGTCCACAGGTTAAACGATCCTGGTTTGTGTCTTGTTTCAGACATGGCACCGTATTATGAATCTCTGTGTAAGGATCTGAAGTGGCAGCTGGACGGGGATCTGCTGAGTAAAATGAAAAAGGCTAACGAGGAGGAGCTGAAGCGCCTGGATGATGTGCTGGAGGATGCCGAGAAGAGCCTGGGAGAGAGCGAGATACGAGACGCCATGATGGCCAGAGCTGAATATCTCATCAGAATTGGAGACAAGGTAACTTCCTCCTCAGTGGGCACATAACACTTGCATGAAGTTACTTGATATAAGCATCTTTCTCATCAGCTTTACTATTTGTCAATATGCACTACTGGAGCAATACTTAGACTGACTTATGAAAGAAACGCAGTTTTTACACCTGGCACCATTGATACTCCACATCCAGGATACATGTCATGGCCATATTCATGGGAGTAATGGTGGTCATACTATGACTCTTTTCTACATGGTGTCATTTTTTTGTCTTTATTTATGTTTTCAGCACACATTGCTGTGCATGTGTTTGCATGCTAGGTCAATAACTCTAAACCATGTTATATACTATTGTGGGTACTTACTTTAAGTTTTTTAATGCCTATTTTTGAAGACTTCCAGGCTCTTGCCTTACCATACAAGAGGTTCTCAAATAATCAATTTACTGTTTTTTTTTGTTTTTTTTCAAAACGGCTTCAATAAGCAAAATCAAAAAAAGTGGTTGAACAAACCAGTTGTGTAACATAGTGTGCATTCCTTTGATTTCATATGTTTTTATGTACCTTCTTAAATCCTTAATATTAATATTTCTGTGTAAATTTGATCTGCCAGACTGAACAGCTTTGTGGTGTCTTTTTTGTTTACCTTCTTGTTTTTATGCCTCAGGACACAAGATGCATATCACTCACTGATACCGAGTTGTTGACTTAATGGCTAGTTTCTCATTACCTATGCTGTACATCCCTCTTAACATGAGCAGGCATTATAGCACGGTGGTTTGCAGTTTCCCTCTGAAATAGTATATAACGTCTATTAGGTTTTTTTTTTTTTTTTTTAATCTTCGGTAATATAGATGTATTTACATGTAATGTTCACAGATAATGTGTGTACACAGATTTGAATAGTAGCAGATACATTGACGATATGCGTCCACAGGAGGGTGCCCTAACAGCCTTCAGGAAGACTTATGACAAGACGGTGGCTTTGGGACACAGACTAGATATCGTATTCTACCTGCTGAGGATTGGACTCTTCTATATGGACAGCGACCTCATCACACGCAACTCAGAGAAAGCTAAGAGGCAAATGCTCTGATATCTTTGTTCTCAAACATCACCACCCAGTCTCTGTAATCTTTTAAGTACTCATCTCTCAATGCACCTATTTTCCACACAGCCTTATTGAGGAGGGGGGAGACTGGGACAGGAGGAATCGTCTGAAGGTCTACCAGGGCCTGTACTGTGTGGCCATCAGGGACTTCAAGCAAGCCGCTGAGCTCTTCCTCGACACCGTCTCCACCTTCACCTCCTACGAGCTCATGGACTACAAGACATTCGTCACCTACACGGTCTATGTGTGCATGATCGCCCTCAAAAGGCCCGACCTCCGTGAAAAGGTAGGAGGCTGAGGATATGGTGCCAGCATTGCATGTTTTCAGAAGCATGTTTAAGTTGGCAGTATGACTGCAATGAAATGTGTTCCTCTTTAGGTAATAAAGGGAGCAGAGATCTTGGAGGTGCTGCACAGTCTACCTAATATTCGCCAGTATCTGTTCTCCCTCTACGAGTGCCGTTACTCTGTCTTCTTCCAGTCTCTGGGTGAGGAAGCATTTTCTTTTGACCTCAGAAACAAACATTATCTGGTCACTTGTAGTGTTATTCTGCTGTTCTTTCCAGTGTTTCATTATGTGTCTGCTGCATGTTGCTGTATTTTTTTCCTCCTCCGTCACATTCGTGACTCTTCAATAATGACTGTAAAAAGTTGTTATTTTTGTGCCACAGCCATGGTGGAGCAGGAGATGAAGAAGGACTGGCTCTTCGCGCCACACTACCGTTACTATGTGAGGGAGATGAGGATCCAGGCCTACAGCCAGCTGCTAGAGTCCTACCGCTCCCTCACCCTGGGCTACATGGCTGAGGCCTTCGGTGTCAGCACAGAGTTCATTGACCAGTGAGTGCTTTTACACCATTTTCATACGCCTCATCCTCGGGAGACACTCTAAAATGTCACTGCAGAAATCCTCGCTGAAGTTCTCTCCTCGAGGTTTTATGAGGGGGGGGGTGAACGTCTAATTTTGACATAGAATTGCTTAATTTCTCCAGAAAATTACTGGTATATGAATCCCGTTTTAGAAAGAACTGCAATAGAAAGAACTGCAACATAAGGCTACTGGTTGAAAATCATAGAATATATTTATTAATTTGAGCAATCGCATCAGAACATAGCACTATCGGAGGACTACATATATTTATACTTTATGAACGATTCTCTAAAATCAGCTGACCGTAGAAATGTTTTTCAGTACTTTGGACGGCACGGGACAATGCGAGACCTGCTTTTGATAAAATGTCCAGAATGTGCTCGCATGCTGTCCACACTTTACTGAGATCTGATTTCACCTCAGCATGTTATCTGGTTTATCGGATTATCAATGCGAGCAATATTCAAACCCTGAGCGTACAGACTTGACGGTTAATGCGTCCTGGCATGATGGGACGAAAAGACAAGTGTAACCACAGCCTCAGTCACAGATGTTTCTCTTTCTTCTTCATCAGGGAACTCTCCCGATTCATAGCTGCTGGACGTCTTCACTGCAAAATTGATAAAGTGAATGAGATTGTGGAAACCAATAGGTAATGTTCGCATTCTTCAAACCTCAATACTTCTCCAAATAACTCCGAGTAAAGGCAGAACTCAAAGTCTCATCCGTTTCTTCTTCTTTTCAGACCTGACAGCAAAAACTGGCAGTACCAAGAAACCATCAAGAAGGGCGACCTGCTGCTGAACAGAGTCCAGAAGTTGTCGAGGGTCATCAACATGTAACCGTGGTCGTCAGATTTCTATGCAAGGGGGACTTGCATCATTCTTCTTGGTATACCCAAACCAGTAATTTGTCTGACAAAGTCACTCTTCTATTGTGTATATAATAAAATTTGTTTAACTGTTGACATTACATTTCTCTAGGCTGTTTTTTTTTTTATGCCTCCAAGTCGACGAGAGCCGCGGCCAGGGGCAGCATGTTTTTTGGGTTGTTTGTACGTACTTCCATCTGTACGTACTGCCCTGGCAGAATAGTTATTGTATCTCAATGGGATGTTTCTGGTTAGATAAAGAATAAATATAAAAACTGAATGTCATATCTTTGGAATGCAAAGAAATTTTATCACATCTGCCACTAGGGAGGGGAACCCGAAACCCCGATATTCCATCTTCACTAGTTCTAAATTTTTAAGATCAGTGTTGAGCTTCGACGTTATTGGTTCTTTTATCGGTGCTTTTTAACATTTTGCTGTAATTTATTATCACCACACCGCCTCTCTGCTCGGTTTTGGGGCTGAGCTCCAAACACACACGCAGCAAAGTCAACGAACATCAGAGCAGACAGGCCGCGGTTGAGACAGTGATGTGAACTTGAGTTGACTATGAAGTTATACTATATGAAGTTCCCAGAAAAGTCATGGCCAAGATATCTGCTGACATCGGAGCCTCAGAAAAACAGCTCCTTGCCCCCAGAGGCTTATCGGTGCCAGACTGACAGCCGATGGGATCTGAGATTGTATGACGTCAAAGGCCAAAGTCACTGTGACCTCACCATGCTTTTGGCCTTAACTGAAGAATTCATATGCTAATTTCACAACAATCTCTAACAGGATAAAAATGAAGTGATGTTCTGTACCGACATGGCTGTAAACTGCAACTTGACTGGTCGACAGACATAAAACCGCGAGGCGGTAATTGTAATGTTCTTTATGAAAGAGGCAGAGACGTCATTTCATATAAATAGCAGTATAAATTATTTTATTTACAGAAACTTGTTACAAAACAAATATACTATACAATCTTTTTTTCTTTAAATATTAATTCTAACCTATGTTTTGTTCATGAATTACATAGCAGCCAATACATAAGTCCAGCTGAAAATGATTTTGATGTATACAAAAAAAAAAATCTATACACGCTTTTACATAGTATGAATGGTGGATTTATTGTTTCCTCCCAAACACGAGCTGTATTCTCTCTCACTTTCACATTCCAAGTCTATGGTGCTATTAAAAAAAACCGTCCTCACGTTTCCATCTACTGGAAACGATGTCAAGATGTCAGTGGAGTTTGAGGGTAAACAAAACACTTGATTGAAGGTTTTTACGTAAAAATCCCAGTAAACCAGAGAGGACTTAAGCCGCACACAGAGAGGCTATCGAAATCTCCACGTCTTGTCTGGAAAACTTTTGACCCCCCCCCCACAACACTTGTTTTTCATACTGGGCGGCTGACAATCTCAGGTTTTACCATATTTAGGGTTCATAGGCAGATTTGAAAGCAAACGCCTAAATGCTTCCAACATTCAAGTAAGGTAAAACAACCCAAAGAACACTGTCCTCAAACAGTCAGGGTGAAACTAATTCAGGCACTTTCTTAATTTCATACTTCTTTTAAAAGCTGCAAACTATTTCTTTAAAAGCTGTGATTGAAATGACTCGTTTGGCAACGACGACACAAGCAGTTGGACTGTTTGTTTGTTCCTCTTCCTTGCAATGATTGCTTTAAGTCCCTCCAGCCTTTATAAAAGAACGCAAAGTGTTTCAATCGTGAAATATGTTTTAAGGTCTACAAAGTGTTTGAAAAGTTAATGGAAACTGGTTCGACAATTGGCACAGCTTCAAGCCTGCAGAACGCTTCAAAATCACAGGCTAATTGGGTCATATGGTAACTTTTTGTTGTGTTGATTCATAGGCAACGTAAAATATCTTGTAAAAGCACATGTGATTGAGACCTTGAAAAGTGAATAAAGGTATCCTGTCATACAGACACATGCTACAGTGGCAATACTTCACCTTTGATACTATAAGGATCTCAGTACATGATTCATGAGATGCTTCAGCTTCTACATATTGCATTCTAGAGACTTGGCAGTGAACCACTTCAAATAATCAAGTTCTCTGACTTGTTATCTTTTTTTACTAAATAAATAATTTTCTTTTTAATTTTTTTTTTTTTTTAAAAGATTGTACCAAAAATTCAGCGTGTACGAAAATTGCCTGTGCAAAAATACATATTTCACTATGTACAATTTAACAAAATACGTATTCTCAAATAGGGAAACTCCAATACTTGTTTGAGACATTAGGCTACGGGAAATAAAAAGGTAAATTAAGAATCTTAAAAAAAAAAGAAAAAAAAAGTCTCCTACTTTCCCACACTGACATCACTGGAGGTTCCATAAATCAACAGGTGTTGCCAAAAGATTTAATATGTCCGGTGAAGCCATCTCCATGAATCTCGCACCATAAAACCCACTCAAGACCTCTAGAAATAAGCAAACATCCCGACAAGTATTGCCTGATTTAAGACTCCATTTTGACAAAGGAATAGAGTATAATGCCTGGTTATCCATTCTACTGTGACAAATCTTTTCTCAACACACACCAACATCGTGTTACGGCGAGGCATCGGAACTGTAACACCCAGTGCTTGGGTAGTGGTTACACACACACACACACACACACACACACACACACACACACACACACACACACACAGACAGACAGACAGACAGACAGGAGGGACAATCATACCCACAGAAGACAGGTGACGTGCATAAAGTTTGCTCCAGTTAAGACGTACCATACCTGATTCCCTATGTAGGAAAAATAAACATTACAATTCACATCTGCCCACAACAGCTGTGGATTTCCCGCAGCTGAATGGGTAAAAAGTAGGTAAGTTATGGCAATAATATTAAGGTTTGCACAGATTTTCTTCATATCCACACAGGCAATGCACCATGAATGCTTTATGAGCAAGACTGCCCACCTTTTTCGTTAAAAAAAAGAAAAAAAAGAAAAGAGTAGTTGGCAAAGCTGATAGCAGCTTTTGGCTCGCTTTGTGACAACTAAGCAGTGCCTGTGGAGAAAGTAGTTCTTTCAGTTCTGTTCACAGTTGGGGGTAGGTCTACTGTGGCGATCATTTGTGAACAATGGAAAGATTCAGAAAATTAAACAGGTGTCCCTCAAGACAAAGTTATCGCTCTGCCACAAGATTCAATCAAATGGGCACATCAGGCGTCCTTTTCACATTTGAAAGCACAACTGTCTTCACCACATCTACAAAGACTCTTTGTAGTTCAGTGTAAAAAGCTCATCAGAAATCAAAAGGTAACACTTGCATAATTATTCTGGGTAATAAAAGAATTGACCAGATCGTCTCTACGGGCTCCTCTCAGGCTACTGCGTGGAACTCCAAGCTAATCAAACGCGTCGCCAGAGAGTCAAACTAATGAAAAGTGAAACAACAAGGTGATTGTGTGTTGTTTAAGGTGTTGCAAGTAACAGTTTGCTGCTCCTCCTCCTGCTGCTGCTGCTCTCCTTCCAAGGCTTCTGAGATCAGGCGCTGGGGGTGTAATTAAGTTGGAAATTCCAGTAGTCCAGCAGAATCTGACATGAGAAAAATTCTCTTACACGCACACGCACATTCGCACACTCATTCGTTAACAAACACGGAAGAGATCGGCTTGTTGTCTCCCCAGTTGCTCAGTGTCATGGCGGCTTGTTGCGGCAACCCTTAACCTGAACCCAATGGGCTTTGAACCGCAGTTCAAGAGACCCCTGGCTGTTGCTATTGATCCTCCTACTTCAAGACAGGAAGACCTCTTAGAATACTGGGACAACACATGCGTGGGGGGTCCTTGGCTCGCTCATCAGACCCCTGGCAATCCACGCTATACATACAGTGCCATTGCACCCTTCCTCCCAACACACACACACACACACACACACAAATACACATGGCTTTGGGAGAAATAGTAAGGACCACATTGACTTCACTGGGCAGTCCAGATCATCTCCACCCTGAGGATTGTGGGAAGCTGAGAGTAATGTGGGTTTGATTTTAGAAGGCCTTGTGAAGTCCGGAGCAATATGCGGACCGCTCTGGACTTTTTCCCGTCCGCCTGTCGGTTCCATTCACAGAAGCCGGACACCGCTGTCAGGGACGAGCCTTTGGCTGGAGGGGAGAAGGGAGAAAGACAAAATCAGTATGAAAATGTTTTTAAGCACCCGTAAAGATAATTTCCCACTAGCCCTAGATGTTTGTGGGATAATGTGCTACAGTGGATGCAGATCGGTCTTAGAATATGGAACGTAAACCCCGAGAACAACCTTGGATTCTTAGAGAGACCAATGAAAGAAATGCTGAATGAGAGGTTGTGTTGCCCTACAGAAGCTAGTGTAACAGAAGCTAGATCGGATGGGACGTCATGACATCATCTCAACTTAAGGTCGGTATGAAAAGTAGAAGTTTCAGGGTTCTGGTATTGTACATGCTGTCTCACTGCCACACTTTCATGGCTTACCGGAACATAAACATAAAACAGAGCGGAGATTACACATTTATCTCCACTTTTAAAAATTAAAATGCATCTTGATTGGTACAAAACCCACCTGATGTAAATGGGAGTTGTTCGGTAAACCCGGCGTCCCTGGAATACTTCGCCCATGCTTCCCATGGATGTTGTTAATGGCAGGTGACTTGGCCACTTTGGGTCTACCTGGTCCAGGTCCCACTCCCCCTCCTCCCCCCCCCACCACCACCACCACCACCACCACTATTAATGCCGCTGGAGGCAGGAGAGCCTTTGCGCTTCTTGCCCTCCAGGCGCCCATCTGTGGAGTGGTGGCTGAAGTTGGTGTGGTGGTCAGCTGAGGATAAGGACTGGTGGTGGACAAAAGGTCCCAGGGAAAGGGTGGAGTCACTGCTGTTCATCACTACGCTCATGCGCTTGATGGATTCTGCAGGGCTGCCCGAGGGAGGACCTCGTGCTGGCGGCCCTGAGGAGCCGCCTGCTGAACCTCCAGAAGGCTCAGCCTTGAGGCTGAGTGAGTTAGTCCGCACAGTGGGGCCACAGTTAAGCCCCACGCTGTGGACTCCGCTGTGGGAGGAAGATAATGACGACGATGAAGGACCTAATGAGCCGTGGTGGTAGGTGCTCCCTGAGCTGCCAACATTCGTACAGTTCTTCTTGAAAGGGGAGGAGGCGGAAGAGTAGATGGCATTAGAAGAGGAGGATTCAGAGGGGCCATGGGATGAAGAGAGTATAGAGCTGTTCTTCCTCTTCTTCCCCGAGCTGAAGCTTGTGTTGCTACTGTTACTGTTGCCCCCACCAATGGAGTTGGGGATGAAGGGTATCGAGGAGCTAGAGATCTCCTTGGGCCTGAAGGACGACGACGACGACTTGGTAGTGCTGCTGCTGGAGGAACGGGACTTAAGTGCCCGGCCTGAGGCTAGGGAAGGAGCTGAAGAAGAAGAGGAGGACAAGTGGGCTGAAGGCATCTGCGGCGACGAAGACACTTGTCGGGCCTGCGTAATGCCGTAGGCCGGGTGCTCAGCCCCGCCCTGAGGGGAGCTGCGGGCATTTAAGGTGGTCCCATATGAGAGCACAGACTTGCCCTCGTACGATTGGCTATAAGGAGTCTGGGGCAAGGTGGCAGGGGGGCCCAGGAAGCCTGAAGAGGGGGTGCTACCGTGGGAATTTGTGCTTGTCCTATGGGAAGGTGCAACGGAGGAGGAGTTCTCCAAGGCCAAGGGGATTTTCCTGCAACAAGGAACAACAACATTCATTAGCTCCAACTTTTAATAGATCAAGAATGCTGACCCTAAAAGACAAGGAGGCCAAATAGTACGTGCTTCGGCCATAATTAAATCTGGACAGACTTACTTCCACATCTGAGAGTTGACGTGTTTGTCCATCATCGTGGTTAGGGCACATCGCACTTTGTCCCATCGCCTGTCAAAGGAGTAGCAACCTCTTCCTAACAGTCGACTTCCAAATGTACAGTACTGGGAACAGAGAGGGGGGTACCAACTATCAGTAAATCATAAATCAATCATAACAAGCAAAAAGTACTTACTGTGAAATCTGAAACGTATAAGGGATTTTTTTTTTTTTTATCTACAGTGCTTCCTAAATAAAAGTAGTTGCATGGCTAATCAGAGACCAGTGATGGTAGGGTGCACTTACAGCTGCCGGTCGGGGGTGATAACCTGAATAGTGACAGTCCAGTTTGTCAGCGCTGTCCTCCCGCTCCTCGTTCTCTCCCTCGTCACTGGAGGGTCGAGAAAACCCACCAGGGGTAGTATGAGCAAGGTGTGGCGACTCGTGGACTACTGCAGGGTCTCCGGGGGTACCACCTCCGTGACTGCTGTTTAGTCTGATGGACAGATAGTGTGGCCGATCATTTTCAACTTTAAATCGTTAAAAACTGTTTAAGAGAATCATACAAAATGTATCAAATGCGCAATTGTAACGGTTTGTTTCACCTCTCAGTGATCAGGACTAGTTTGACGGGTGTCACTACACGCAATACATACAAAGAACAGATCTGGGGCAGAACGTACCGTGGAAGACCAGGGCTGTGAAATTTGGGCTTGCAGAGTGGCAAAGGCTTAGTGGCGTCTGGGGCAGGGCCGTTCCCATGAGCAACCTGGTGGGCATCATGGGCAGCAGCGAGGTGGGAGGAGGGGTGTGGGTCCCTGAGAGAGGTATTTTGCTGGGAATGGGGTTGGTGGAGCTCTCTCTCCTTCTCCTTCTCCCTTGTTCTGTTCTTGTGCTCTGCCAGCAATGTGTCAAAGCGCTTCCTCCGCCCTGGCACCGCCCTCCGCTGGCTTAAGGAATGTGTCTGGCGGGACATTAGAAAGGTGCAAAGTCAGAATTATTGTTTGGGAGGTGATGGGATGTTATTTTAACTCCAATGTGTACATGAGTGATGCATCTCTGAAATGTTTTGAGAATATGGCATGTGTGGCTTTGCGGAAAATAATCACAACCATCCTTTAAAAAACTGGTAATATTTTATGTGTTAATTATTGTCAACAAATTCCACATGAAGGCCAACACCAACAATGCCATGGAACTCTATCATTGTCATAAAACTATTATTATTGAAGTGCCACACTGTTGCACTGGCTGACATGTTCCTTCATTACAGTACATTGAACACAGACACTATAGTGTATTTAGAAACACAGAGAGCAGAGAATTCTTTCCTGTTAATTCAGTTCGTAGGTGCTGTGAAAAAAAACACTTGTAATGACAGGGAAAACCCAGATTTTCCAAAGATTTCATTCACATTTTGGAAACATTCCGAGATATTCCGCGTTTCACAGTTGATTCCATACGTATCATCAAATTCTGTGATTGTCAGAGTTTTACACAGAAATCTTAGGGCCCTCGTTAGCTTTCAAAATAAACAGTGCGTAACATTTAGGATGATTAAGTGGAATATTATCTGCCAGAACTATGTTTTAATCAGTGTATAATCGCTGAAGAATCGTGTTTTCGTCAGCTTAGAAAAGGCCATTTATATCTAGATGGGGAGCGGGTCCTCTTGCACGGAGTCTGCCATCTTCCACTGCCGCGTGTCTACAGCAGCCCAGAACACACAAACTGAACACTGGCTCTAACGAGAGCCTTAACATTTTTACGTTATCTGCTAGGGAAGCTTACCGAAACTCAGTCTTAAAACGGGCCCCAGTGCTAAACTATTAAAGATCGGAGTATTGATAAGCCCCGATGTTACTGTTGCTTTTTAGTAGTACTTTTTAGGGCTAAGCTCCTTCAACTACACACACACAGCCACAAACAAGCTAAAACAAAAGCTGTATGGAGTTAACTGTTTAACTTAGTTTGTTCTTGTAAACTTTTCTGCTGACTTAGAGAAAGCAGCGAGAATGACTGATATTATCCGACGTCTGTGTTCTTCATTCTTGATAAACGTCACTCAGAAATGTTATTTATTTGATTAAACTTTTAGATTTGTTTCCAGTGAGATATTAATGACTTTATGAAGTGACAAAGCAGAGACGCTGCTTACCTTGCATGTTAGGGATCTTGTGCATGGTTTCCGGGCGGTCATATCCACAACGCCACAGTGGGCATCGGCATTGAACTCACGTTCTGAAGGCACAGGAGAGAAGTGAGGGAGGAGAAAATTGTTACTTACATACATTGTGACAAATCCAACTGTTCTGATAACTTGCTTCACTGTAAGTTGTGTTACGTAAAATGTCTTAGATGAGTCATGGTCTTTAAAGCTGATGGATGTGACGTTGTGAAGACAGGTAGCTGTTCTAGTTGGTAACTTCCAGAGTTTTTGGTACCCGTGGTTAATATACCGATATCTTGTGGGTAAAACGAGTAATATACTCTATAGATGTTTGTTGTGTTCAATGGTATAGATTACGGATGTCAGGTCTTTACACAATGGGATGTCTTGCAAGATTAAGATCAGAGAAAACATAAATATGTTGTATGAAACAGTATAAAATTACTCTGTCATAATCAGACCTGACAATACCTATGTTGACAGCACAAAACCTGAGTAGCAGTTTCACTTAATTTCCTCTCCAACTGACCTGTCACTCTCTTGTTAAGGTGGCGTCTGCTACTGGCACTGCTGCTGCTGCTGCTGCTGTCCTGCTTCTTGTCTGAGAGGACTGAGAGGTGGCCCTTGCCGTTGGGAATCGGACCCGGGGCCAGTAATGGAGGCTTTGGTATGGAGGGACAGTTAAGGCCTGGTTTAAGGGCTGATGATGAGGAAGCGGAGGTGGTGATGGTGGTAGTGTTGGAGCTCACAGTGGTGCTAGAGGAGGATGTGGAGGATGATGAGGTGGTGGCTGGGGCAGATGGGGCCTGCACCAGCTTAGCGGACGAGTCCACCCTCAGATGCATCTTCTCCACCTTGACAGCCGGGGTGAGGCTGGAAGAGAAGGTTACAGAGATGAAGAGCGCAGCAAGGAGGAAGCTGAGAGTTAGAAACGCGGAGCCAGTGAGAAATGCATGGTAAGAGACAGATGTGTACGTATGGAGGGGGCTGGGAGGACAAAACATAAATCTATATGATCCATCAGTTATCAAAGACTCTGGTAATAAAAAAAAAAGACAGGTGTCAGAATATATGACTTTTCTCTGGACCGATCCCGAGCACAGATCCTGGACGAAATAAGAGATTTTGATAATAATGGCACCGTACTGCACTTACAACTCTTCCTCAATTAGACTGCAGCCTGTTTAATGAGGAGGAACATTTCAAACACAAGTTGACTCCTCAAAGACTATGACTATAATGATACAGAGTGGCGTTTCTCTATGCACACAGCTATCTTTGGCCGAGCGTAAATGTACAAACAACCAAGTGGTATATTAACCAGGCAATGGCCGAGATGTCTTTTTTCACCAAATTAACCGTAATCAATTACAGCCGAGTAAATATTACAGGCAACAGTTGTTATAACAGCAGGAAAATGAAGAATCTGTGGCTTAAACTTTTATATTGCCATAAAAACGACTAACTGTTCAGCCCAGTTCTTGGTCTATACCGGCAAATTGCACAACCCTGGAAACACACTTTACTACAAATGTTACAGAGGAACTTACATCTTGTCCAGCTGGGGTGTCCTGAAGGGTGCAAAGGGGGTTCTTCGCTGAAAGCCTGGCAGCTTCTCTTTGGCTGGTTTGACGAGTTTGGGATTGGAGGAGGACGACGCTGAAGATCCAGCGGTGGAAGGTCGGCTAAGGATGACTCCACTTGCCAGTCCAGCTATAGGCCCCGAGCCCAGCCCGGGTCCGCTGGTCCTGTTCCTGCCCGACACGGGGAAGGGGGAGGGGGTTGGCTTGCAGGCCGAACTGTGTCTTCTCTCTGGAGCGACAGTATAAACCAGGTTGGCATTAAAACATAATAATGAACTCGATTAGATGATGAGGGTGAGGCATCACAAAGCTTTGACCCAGCACTATAAGAAAAGGTAAGACACGTGGGAACATAGAGATCTTCCTTTGACAGTAGTAAGCAGGTTACCTCGGCAACAAATAAGCAGTATTTGTGATTCATGCCAACTCCGTCTGAAATAGAAGCAGCCAACAGGTCAAGAACTTCATTTCCTGCCTGAGCTTCCAACAACCTGTAACTGTGCAAACTGATAAAAGGCAGTTTGACAGCAGAAAATGTTAGGGTTATACTGAGATGTGGATGAAAAGCCAAAAATAGATGAAAGGAACAACATTTTCATCGCTAAGTGCTTGCATCCAAAGCTAAATATATTTTTTCCCATGGTGCACCATGGTTTCCAAACATCATCGAACATTGGTCTGTTGCGAGTGCGCCCACAATAATTACAGAAGGGTTTTGGGGTTTTCAAAGGACGCTCTCGCTATTTTTAGTAACCGCATACAACAATGAAATAGCACACTCAAAATAACTTCATTGAAATTATCACTACAGCTCCACAACACAGACACAGAGACTAGACTTTCTTTACTGTCACAGCTGAAACAACCCAAGAAAAAGGCAAGACAGCAACCGTATGATAGCATTTTAGTATATTCAGAGGTTACTGTAACTTGCATCAAAGTATTAAATCTTGGCCAGGCAGTGGCTCCCTAACAGATATACTGGACCCCCTGGGGTCATACATACAGACAGACAGACCTGCTGCTCTGACCACAAGTGGAGAGAGAGAGACCGACAGACATAGAGACAGAGCACATGTCGTACTCTAGAAACTATAGCGACCAGAGGAGAAAACAAACAGCATCACAATATACATTGCTTGCTATGTCTGTAGCTAGCAAAGTTAGGGACAAGTTAGCTGTTAGCAAGCTGATCACCCAGTTATCCTATTCTTTCTGCTGATGCCTCACATGTTATTGCCTGTATCCACTTTTGTCTTCATAGGCTACATCCACACTAGTACATTTCCATTTTTCTACCAAAAGCCGGGTAAGTTTAAAAACTCAGAAGAAGGTTTTTCGGTTCAGCAGCTTATAAAAACTTAGTTTTGGGTTCTTTAGCCTGTTGGTAGAGAACTTTCCACCACAAAGCAATGTTCTGTTTGCTAGCAGGCGAAAGTGACAAGGAGGCACCTTCACACTATTCAAAGTCAACGAAGAACAATGAACTGTTTTCGCCTTCCATTGCAAACATACAGTGAATGAAAGAGGATACAGCTTCAGAAGCACAAACAGGTTTTCATAGAAATGATCGGTGTCAGCAGCTAGCTAACGTGGTAGTGTTGTGGGCCTGGTTAGCTAAGCCTTTACTGGGCTAACTCCATGGAGTGGCAGGAAACCGGGCCGTAGGCTAAAGCTCAGCAGGTTATCTGCAAACGAGCTTGTTGCTGCAGAAACAGTGTAAGGGATGCAAACACACAAACACATGCATGGGCAAGGAGCTAGCACTCCCCATTTCCCTCAGCCCCCAACACACACACAAAGACACACACCTTCAAACTGTATAGCCTTCTTCCAATTTCCCTTTTTAGGCAGGAAAAACCTCTAAGAATGCCCTCTTCTTATCTAAGGAACTGTCTCTACACACCCATTCGCGACACACTCCAGATACCTTCCTTCCCTTTCTTTCGCTCCCTCCTGCCTAACCTCCTTCCCCCTGCTGTCTTGTCCTGTCCCGGTCATAGTCAACAGCACACAAACTCACACCAGGAAACCACAGCGTGACACTCAGTGCTCTGTCCACAAAGCACTGCACTGAGAACAGAGAGACAACACCAGCGGCAGAATAAAAGAAGAGTTTGGCGTGGAGGAAATAGAAACAGTAGACACAAGGAATAAGAGGAGCCTTAATGTCCTCTTTCACACGTCAGTTGGCTCAGTGTTAAGGGGAATCCCTGGCTGTTTGATGGCCTTACTACCATCTCAACAAGCGCCATGTTCAAGCCGTTGCATGAGCTGGCCTCAGTCTTCTCGTCAAAATAACATAAACACTATGGTTAGTTTACTTGCCATCTAAGCTCAAGGCGCATGATCCCATAATGTGTGTTTGTGTGTGTTCACTCAGCCAAGGCAACGTGTGTGAGCAGAGCCGTTAGGAGACGGGAAGCTTCCCGTTCTGCGGTGAGCGTCACCCCTGCTGGGATCAGCCTCAGCCGAGAACCACAAGAACACCTAATGGGAGACAGATGGGCTCAAAGAAGCGTGCTAAAATCATATTGATACCATCTCAATGGTGCCGAGATCAGTGCCTTTGCCCCGCGTTAACGCTACATGAGGTCGTCTTATAATGACATCAGAGGAAGGAAGACGGGAGGAAAATCCCAGCAAGGGCACTCCTACTCTGTATGGCCATGTATAGTAGCATTGCTACAATTAGTCAATCCAAAGAAAATGACTCACCAACTATTCTATTAATTGTTTAAATAATATATATTAAAGCAAACATTATCAGATACTGTGATCAACATTTTCTACTACTTTGACATATTCTAGACTAATGGATTTGGCGATGCATCTAAATTAATAGTCACATTATTCGAAAATAATCATTAGCTGCAGCTCTATTACGGTGCTTACAACTCCTACTTAATGGAAATTAAAGGAGGCACCATTAGCTGCTTGCTTTGTATAACTAGTGCAGTGCATTCTGCACAGTCTGCATTCACAACACCACCCTGTTAAAGATGTACGGCAGCCACCTGCTGGGATTTTGTCAGTACTGTTTTACCTAATAGGCGCTGTAATGCCCTCCAATGAAAAATCCCCATGCAGGTATAACAACTAAACTGTAATAGTCATAATTAATAGTCTGGTCTAGACAGGCTTGCATCAGTCTATATTGTTTAGCAGTGTGGGAGGAACCGTCTCTTTGAATATTGTAATAGTGGCATGGACAGTTCCAATGGGAGCCATGTGCCATTATACCCCCCTCTTGTGGCTGACCGTGACAACTGTAACTGCTGACACACTTCATGGAGAATCCACACCACTGACGGGAACAAAAACCCAACAACAATTTAGGACAAAAAAAGAAACTATAAGAAGAGAATGTTATCCGATGTGTGATTCAGATGCTGGGAGTGGGAATGTAGTGACGGGACAAAAACTGGTGCTAATAAGGGTTGAAGCCATCTGATTTCTCACATGAACAGACTTCATGTCTTCTAAAATTGACTTCATTTACAAAGATTAATATACGTTATTGCGGTAAAACAAAGAGTCTTACATGGCAGGACATGGTAGATGTCACTCTAAAATGCAGCATTTCAGGAAAATGAGATTGCGAGTGAACAGACAGCTTATTTATTTCAGCGACTGTGGGCGTTTGTGAACTTGCCGTTAACACTGTCAAGTTTAAAGAGACCCGCAGTGATGCAGTCACTCTATTTACAGATCTATAATTCATCCATTTACTCTAGCACTATATTCAAAGATCCAGCTCAACTACTAAGCACGGACACACACAAAGTATTTACAGAACTAGAAATCCTATCCGAGCTGTACATGTTTTTAAAAAGTACATTAGTGCGAAGGCCGAGACAGTCGCATCAAATATTAACAGGGGAATTGTAAACACGCACAAGTGAGACAGTGAGTTAAATAAATAAATAAATCAAAGTCTGTGGCGTCTGATCTCGGGTTACTGTGCGGAGAAGGAAAAGTGGAGGGGGAACACAAAGGCGTAGGGGGAAGTGATACCACGGAGTGTGTCGATGTGTGAAATATCGCCACCAGCCATGAAGTGGTATATGGTCCCGACAGATGAAGACTACTTTGTTACATTTCTTATTCACTGATCTACTGCCTGTACTGTCTACATTCACTCGCTCGTGTAAGTGTGTGCATGTGCATGACACTTACCGTAGTGTGCTTGGAAGGCCTGGGGCTTGACGACCTGGCCGCAGTGGTTGCACATCACCAGGTAGAAGTCGTCCTGTGCGGGGCATTGGCCGAATATGGGCATGTCTGTACACAGGGGAAGAATCAACCGGAGAGGCGACAAGTCAAGGAGAGACAAATAAAATAGACCTACATTCACCTGGTGCTCCAGTTGGCAACAGACTCTGACTCTTCACTGAAACATCAATCATTTGTTGTCATAACACTGCTGCAATAGCTCAAGATAGGGTAACTTCAGTTTATTAGCTTAACATCAAGAAGGAAACCCGGTTATAATAAATGTACACATCCTCGTGTTGCACAACACACACATGAAAACGCATAACCATATAAAGAATCTTAAAAAACTGAAGCGCTCACTCAATGCAAACTGTCGAGCGAAGTCTTTACATGCAGATACTGATCAAGAAATAAGAAATAAATTGAATTCATTTCGTTTTATGTGACAGTAAACAGAGTATCTTTGGGTTTTGGACTATCAGTCAGATTAAACGAGGAATTTGAACTTTTCACCTCGGGCTTTAGGAAAATACAATACCCCCCCCCCCCAAAAAAAAAAATCTGAAAGTTTATAGACCAAACGTTGAACTGATTAAGTAAGAATACTAATCATTAGTTGCAGTCCTACAATCAAAACAGAGAGATGTTGGTTTTCATCAAAGTCTGTCAAGTTATAAAAGTTCTATGTTTAAAATCAACAATAAAATATTCCAATCCACGAATGAGATCCTGTTCTCATGAGTCAGGACTCATCTGAAACCTCCTCCCCTAAAACCGGCCCATGCTTAACACAAGACAGCGTTATGGAGTAACGATTTAAATGTGGAGGCACACAAAAGGGTCACGAACCCAAAAACCTTTTGACAACTCTGTCTGGATTAACTGAAAGGAAGAGAAACTGGAAGACACGGCTGATTACGGGGGGGGGGGGGTAATTTCCCCGTGGTGCCCCTAAGGCGGTGCAACTTTCAGGCGCACGATCATAAACAAAAACATAAGAAGCATGACTTCCAAGGTATGGCATGTCTGCAGCTCCAGCATCTCAAGCCCACAATTTGAAACGAACCGAGCCTCGCACTTCGCAAGCCACTCTAGGGCAAACGGAGGGAAGTGCCGCTACTCACCAGAATGTGATCAAAATTTACCCTGGCGCACGGAACCAGAAACCACCTAATTAAGGAGGCTAATTAAGAGATTTGCCTGGGGCGTTATGATGAGATGAGCAGAAGACAGGATACAAGAGGAGAGAAGTGGAGCCCCTACTCAATATGTACTCCACCAGGGCCGTCAAGGGTTCTCCAAACGTCGCTAGACGAGTCTGGACGGGATGAGGGCCATTAAGCAAAGCCCATATAACAAGGGGCCGACTAGGCGGGATTCCCTCTCAGTGAGGTTAGTGGCAGTCTTGTGTGGATGAATTGACAAGCCTGATGCTACTTAATGCATGTCAATTGTCTGAAGCCACTCTGCTAAGTGTCTCCTTCAACAGCCGTGGAGCAAAAAGACTGATTCTCACAGTGGCTGGTAACTACCAAGGAAAAAAAGGCAAACGTCTTTACTTAATGGACAAAGGCATGTAAATTATACAGAGCTTGAGTTGGGAAGCACACTGCTGATGTGCACAAGCGAGGGTGGGACTACTATTCAAAAGAGAACAAGTGCAGAAATGTGATGCGGAGTGGCAGCACTCACTGGTTGCCACTTGCGCAAGCCATTAAAGCAGAAGTTGGAAGCTTGCCTGAGTTCTGTGTAACTTCTTGGGTCTACACGTCTGTACTAATCCAACCATGAGCCAGTCTCCTGTACCAGCAGCAAATTCAAGTTATGAGAGAGCACACATACTTGCTCAATCAATAACCTCCCATGTATTCTCCATTAAAACTTCTCTCGGCTCCTTTATTGAAACAGGCCAAGAACTGTGGCGTCCAACAGGCTGACCACATTTCCTCGCTGAATCAACAGCAAGGTCAAACAAAACTCATTCCCAAACTGCTGCAGTTGTTCACTTGGAGCATTCTCCAAACGGTTTGCTTGACTATAAAAAGCAGCCGAGCTAGATGGCCTCCCCACTCTGCATTCAACGCACTCGCAGCGACTGAACTGTACCGCTGAAATGGCTCGACTTGAAGAGTGGTCCAACGCCACAGTGTCTGCCCCATTCTCAATCTCCATTTTCTCCTTGTGCAAGTAGGAGATGAAAAGGATAGAGAGAGAGAGAAAAAAAAGAGAGAAAGGAAGTCATGGTGGAGTAGAAAGGCAGCGTAAAGCCAAGAAAGGAGCGTGGAGAAAAAACACAGAGAGAAAGAGAGCAGAGACGCAGGCCGAGACGTCAGTAAGACAAAGCGAGAGTCAGCCGAGAAAGAGGAAGAGAGCCTGTGAGCCCGAGACAGAGGAAGAGAATGAGAGTCCAGTTAATCTCAGCATCCTCATCCATGGCAGTGATGAATGATCTAGCTCTGGCTGCCTCTGAGCTGAACACACGCTGGCTGAATCTGACCTGTGACTGACACTGGCACTACATTTCCCAGCTTCCCTGACTGCGACACTGTAAAATGTATCAAAAAAGGGGAGACGAGTGGATTCATCATTCATTAATTCCCATACATTTTTTTGTACAATGTGTTAATCGTCTGTGTGTGTTAGAATGGCGGTTACGCCACAGGAGGAATCTGGTGGTGAGTCATGGCGGAGAGGTGTAGTCATCCACTTGTAATACCCCAACAAAACACACACGCACACACACGCACACACACACGCTCACAAAATAACATTCTATGAATCTCCGGCAGCATGTGCCGATCAGCCTCATGACACAAACAAGAGACACCAACAGATGCCGTTACATGATGGGAGACATGTTTCAAGCCACTTGCACATCAAATGACCTCACAGTGTCACATTTTATAAGACCATTAAGTCTCTCTGCTTTCTTCTGAAGATGCTTCTTTCGACCTGGAGATACAATAATCTCATCCAAAGCAGACAACATGTCTTTAGGTGAACCGCCACCTTAATGTAATGCATCTCACACTGTTTTGTATGAAATATGAAAGCTCTACTTTTCCTGACATTGGGAGCCTCTAGTCTAGGACATGCGTCATTGACATTGTGCAAACGCAACCTTAGACAAGTGCCCTGTCAAGTAGTCTGCAATTAACCCTTTCCTATACAGCAGCACATGGAGAGGGGAAAAAAAAAAAAGACTAAATCTACACACGGATGACATCATAAGCGTGGGCCAAAATCATGTTACCAAATGAAGTGTGGCATCTTTCCTCATGGCCATTCCTCATTGAGATATAACTTCAGACAGACCAGTTCTGCAAATGCATTATTAGACGGCAGGAACGTGTTCCTCCAAAGTGTTGGACAAATCAGTGTCCAAAGGTGTTCTATAGTAGGAGTTGCCAAAGTCCGAAAAACTGTCAAATTAAGTGAGAATTAATCACCACACCACAGTGATCGCTTTGTTGTTTGCTGTGGAATTAATGATGGTGTTGAACGCCATTTTTCTCTGCCAAATTGTACACACAAATAGATTTTCAGAACAGAAAACAACGGATGACGAATCTATTTTCACTCTACACTTAGTTCTGAAAAACAGCTCAAAGAAATGGATGCATGTTAATCTTGGTGTCCGAGTAGCTGCTATGAACGTCCCATAACAAGGTGACATTTGATATGCCGTGTGTCCTTGAGCAATAGTATCGACATTAGCAAAGCATGAAATCTTTCATTTAACTTTATTGAGCTAGGCTTCAATCTACAATCACAGTAGCACCGATGTTTGTTCATCATTCATTTATTAAGTCATTCTGTCAGTCTGGGAGCTTGGCGAGCCTGGAAAATAGTGCATGATTCCCGATTTATAATTAAACAAGGTGCCAGTTTATTATCGTAACAATTTACCTTTGTAGTTCTAAATCCAGGCCTGACAGCAGGACAAATCAGCTAACGCTAAACACGGTGTTTCCAAAAATAAAATTGCAGTTCAAACTGCTCTGAAACATCAATCTGTGGCTCAGAAGCCAGATGATGTGTGTTTATGATATTGTGGGTTTTAATCACCTTTGTCAAATGATGTCCTTTCTCTTAATTCTGTCATGACTGGATCTTTTCCGGTACTGTAACCTCATTTTTATACATAAAATCAGCTAAAGAGAAAATTCCTGGCATAACCTTAGATTATAGTAACTAGAATGTTCAAATTCATCCCGTCACTTAGATTTCAAAGCAGTCTGGTTGTTGTTTTTCTTTTATCCACCATGATGGCAGACTTTCAAAGTTTACATTTATCCAGCATGAATAAATCAATTGGTGGGCAAGTGCTTCAAAAGACATTAAGAAGTTATTTAAAATTGAGCATTTTGTTCAGTTTGCTTACAATATTTCTCTAAATATGTGGTAACAAAAACATGTGTTGAATCAGCTTGTGAAATAGGAGCAAGCCATATCGTAACTTCATAATGTTCAAATACAGCTATGGCTAAGAGGGGGCTTGGGGTTCTTGCTTTGAGAAACCACACAAATTTGACTCCAGTTATTAACTTTCAAAATGATTAGGACCTTCAAGTTTTTAACGACACAAACCTCCCTGTTGTTTTCAGAGACACGTGAAGTGTGGATGATTTCGTATGTAAAATGGAAGAAATGTAGATGATGGAACAACAAAGTATATTAAATGCAACCTCCAATCGGAATATGAATTTGTTATCACTATGTTTGGGCCTATACCAAAGTACAGCGAGTTTAAGTTGTTAACGGTTAAGTTATTTTAGGGACAGATGTAAATGTCAACTACCACACGAATAATAAGAGACACGTTTCACTTAGTGTTTCCGGTTGTCCAGTCAGTTCATGATGCGCATGATTTACAGTAGCTTTACATACTGTCCGAACGACGCGTGTTAAGTGTTTGAATCCATGTGCAAACCTCCACAACCAAAATACACCTTTGGCCCTAGAGACGAAAAAAAAACACACTCACCTTCTCTGCACAAACGCATGGCTTCCCGATTTTTCCCGGAGTCTTTGAAACTTTCCTCCGATTCGGCACCTGAAAACGAGGCGATCAGACACAGACAAATAAATAGTTGCACTTGCTTGCCTGTTCGTGCGGTTGCTACCAGTAGCGTTTCTTCGTATTCCACCAAAAAACTGCATGCGATCGGCCCCAAAAAAAAAAAAAAAAAAAGAAAAAAAAAAAAAAAAAAAAAAGGAGAGAGGACAGGACTGGCAACTGTCGCGCTCTACCTCGCTTCCTGGCGCACATTCGGGACGCTGAGGAACTCACCGTCGTTGCCGTTGAGTTTGGCGGCGTCGACCCAGTTGCTCCAAGGCTGTCCCAGCATTATTTCTGGACTAGGCAAGGATCTCCGCTCCGCAACAGTCGCCATTGCTGTGGAGCTTTCTCCCCGCTGGATCTGCTGCTGCTGCTGCTTCAGCTGCTGCCTGGCCGCTCGGCGCTGCTCCCCCCTGACGTCATCCTCGGCCCTTTCCGACATTCTTTCCGCTACAATGTAACAACACGAGAGTCAGCATTGGTAGCGCTCGGGATAGGAGGACTTTTTCACTGATTGACGCGGCAAACGCGTGTTGTTTCACCAAACCCGCCCCTCACACAAAAAAAAAAAAAAAAAAAAACAGAACCTGTGTGTGTGTGTGTGGACACTTGACAAGCAACATATGACATACAATATACTGAATTAACTGGCAGTTTATCTAAAGGGGTTTCCTGACTTGTTGGTTTTAATTCATTTTACATGCAATGCTTAACTACTTCGCCTGGTTAAAGCTAAATCTTGATTAAATACGACATGCACATAATTAGGGGGAGCTACACAATATTATACAGTAGTATTATATGATTTATATGAAAATAGAAATAAGTATATCATACAGCAGCATACAGCCCAGTATCCAACAGATTTGGATATTTATTAAGCCTGTTTTGATGGGACACTAGTGGGTGCCTGTTTACAGTCTACACACCATGCTTATGCAAATTCTTAATATCACTTCTTGCAATGACAAAAATAAAAAATTTCCACTTTCTGTTAAGAAAAAGAAAGCATTTAGAAATCTAAAACACATCAGTGTCATATCAAATGTCTATGAAAGGACTTGGTTAAACAGATCCTCCTGTGGCTGTTAACTTTCCGTGCAAAGGCAGAGTTACCCACAGCCAAGTAGTCTTGACTTTCACTTTCAAAATGAAATGCTTGTGACCTATCCCAAAGATGCATATAGACAACAGACAAAAGCTGACAAGCAAGAAAACAAGTAATGGAGGCAGTTTCTTTGCCTTGCCACAGACAACATTTACTGTAGAGACTGACGCAAAGTAAGACAGTTACTTGACTTACAAAAGGCACAAACATTTCTAGTCTTCATCTGGCGATGTCCTAATAAAAAACCAAGGCCAGTTTGAAAAATCTGAAAAAATCCTCAAAATAAATGTTAGAAAAGTTCAATGAATTCTTGAGGAACAATGACCTTGCCCAGTTGCTAATTTCAAGAGTACAGTTCAGAAACTTGGCTTTGGACCAACACTAAATATAGAAATTGCTAGTATCTCACAGAAAAAGTTATGTTTTATTTTGTTAAGTCTTTATCTATTGCCTATGCATACACCAGTCTCAAATTAATTCCATTGTATCAAAGTGATCCAAACAATATAAAAAAAATCCAGACTCCACTAGAAAATCTAGCCGAATATGTTCATACTACAAGGATGTTGAGTTTCAGAATGCAGACCTTTCTAAAGCAAAGTGGCTACTGTAGGAGCTGTTAAAATGGTCAAACCATAGACTAAAAACAAAATAAATGGATCCGGCATCTTTGGCCGTGTTTACACCTGGCAATGACATTCATCCTGGGGGACCTGATCACATGTAGACAGCTCAAAGTACAGGTGTGAATGCACCCAAGAGGTATTGAGAACGCATTGAGATCCGATCACTCAGACCACAGTCAGAGGTGGCCACATTCTTTTAGCAGTATGTACGTGAATGTGTCCTGGGAAACATTGAAGGACCGCCTACTCAGCTGACGTCCTCTGCGGAAGTAAGAACTCATTCGCCAACAGCGCCAGAGGTTCCAAATCGCATACTTTTTCTCTGTATTATACTATTAGTACGTACTGAAGCTCTTACAAAGTATGTACTTTTGCATGCAGTGAGCATACAATTGGGACATACTATTTTGTCATGACATTTCGCCCTAGTTTCGTCGTAGTTTGTAACTCAAAATTTGAAGTAAAACAAAAAGGTATGCCCATTTAGAAAAAGGTGCTATGTCTGCGATCTCTCTGCAGCTCAGTCGATGTGACGTATCCTCTGCTGCACATTAGCTTGTGGGTCAGAATAGGCAGGAAAGCATGCTGACTTGCATACTGCAAAATGAAACCGGATGCAGTAGAATTTCCTGGTATTTTTGGCATACTGCATTTGACATACTATGTATTGGGACATACAAAATCTTTTCCTGGGATACTAAATAATATGGCAGTATAGGTAATTGAGCACACTCGTATTATATTTCACGCAGTCTGAATATTTTGAAACGCCCATGGAGATACATTACGAGTGCGTCAAACATCTTGGGCGAGTTGGTCTGTCTGGAACACCCCAAGGAATAGACCCAGTCTGTATGTTTTGATATCTTCAACGCGTGTGGAGACACATTCTATTGCCAGGTGGGAGCTGTCCACTTGTGACTGGATCAACCATGACACATGTAAATGCCAGGTGTGAACAGGGCCTTCGATATCACTCATAGGTTTCTGAAGGGATGAATCAACAAATCCGACACTGGCATGCCGGGTTAAACCCGAGGAGAATATAGTATATTACGTTCAGGTTACCTGGTTGTTCAACGACATTTCACTGTGCTATGTTAACATTGATATGGATACCTACAACAACTGGGTGAGCCGGCATAACAAGCTTGATGCTGAGTGCTGTTGTTGTAGTTTGAGGGTGACGACACATTAAAAACTTTTAGTGCATTATTATTTTCATTTTCTGAAATACTATACAGAAATAATCAGCATTACGTGAGCAAACAGTGTCAACAGATACTCTACAGGTATTTGAAAGGGCTCAAGTACATCTCAAGTAGATTTCCCGCAATGACACAAAACATTAACACTATTTTTAAGAGGCATGCATTGAACATCTTTTTTGCTGTAATGTGAAACTTACCCGTTTAGACACAGCAACAAATTAGGAAACCCTGTGAATGAAATTTTTGGTATGACATTTTTGACTATTCATTTTGCCTTCTTTCATTACTAATCTATTAATGACCAACACTTAAGTTATGACATACCGATGCCTTCGTACTAATCCATCTCGATGAGTAGCAGTGACTACATCTGGGATTGGACCAGAGGCGCATCTGCTTTTTAAAAAAGCATTGCAAATTGTTAATCTTTAACATGTAAAAATATCAAGGTTTCCACTACAGCCCCTTTTAGACAAGCACTGTAATCTCACACACTTGTTTTTGTGTACGAACCAACCAATACATATTGATAATATTCTATTAAAGAGGTACTGCACACTAAAATGTGTTTTTGAGCTGTAAACTAAATGGTATGACTGTATTGTGATGAAACACTGCTGGTGTTAATGTTGACATTTCCACCAAATTTATAAAAATACACATTTCTTGGGTTAATAAATGGCTCAACACGCTATCTACTGTTTCAAACCAGCCCTGCCCCTCACAAGGCCAATGCTGACATGGAGTCAACCGGCTGGGACTCATCTATGTCATGAAATTTATATTAAAAAATAATTTTAATCTTTAATCAGAGACCAAGGGATGTTACTGAGCAACTCCTGCCTCACACATCAGCAAAAAGGTCCCAACAAAAACAGAATACTAATGAATATTTCAATAAAGTAGAAATAGTATTCATCTCAGGACTGATGCATTTCATCTGATGCTTTATCATTCAAGTAAGTAAATGTATAATCATGAAAGCAACAGAGAGAGGTCTTTTCCTTTTGCTAGATACTAGCTACCTTTCCTAGGGACACATTTCTATCATGACCACATGTATAGGTGTTTTTTAAGTTTTAGTTTGTGATATCCACAAACAAGTCAACAATGTTTGGGTTGTTTGTGTTTAACAAATAAACCTAAAGAAATCAAAAGTGGGTTCTCTGGAAAACAATTACTGTAAAATTGTTGAACTCCAATAAGTTTCTAATTCAGCGACAACTGTTAACATCTTTAAGCACTATATAACTACTTAATATTATTGTATAGCAAAATGAAACATTAACTGTCAATAGAATGTAGAGTCATAAGTGGCTGTGATATCTTACCTTGGCAAAATAAGAAAAAAGGAAGTTAATTTGAACTCAATCAACCGATCCTCATCAGTTTTGGTGATCGCTGGCCGCCACACACACTGGAGAGGAAGTCTGGAGACACACACACACACACACACACACACACACACACACACACACACACACACACACACACACACACACACACACACACACACACAGAGAGAGAGAGAGAGAGAGAGAGAGAGAGAGAGAGAGAGAGAGAGAGGGAGGACGAGTCAGTATCACGTTCTTTGTTTTTTCGTGTTCCTTGATAAGAGTAAATCACTGAATTTGGAATTATAAGGAAGGTAACTCTATCCTCCTTGGGCTCTGTCTTCCGAGTTCTTCACCGCTATGCAGTAAACAAATCCTGTAGGCACAAGCCCTAACCATCCTCTCCAGCCCCACAACAATCCTTTTTAAACACAGATAGAATAGATAGATTCTGATTGTTTTTGTTGTCTTAACTGATAAAAGACACATTGTAATGTATTCATAGAGGTAGCAAATGACTTGCTAAAGCAAAACACAAACCATACAATGATAACTGGTGTGTATGAATAACAACCACTTACTTTACATTTGTTTAAATTTGTATAGCACTTCAAAAGCTACTGATGAAGACAATGGCTGGGTTGTGTCCTGCATGGTCTTAAATCATCCCAAAAATGAGTATAATGCATTTTATAATATGTCTAACATATGCAAAATCACATAATATAATCAACTGAGATTCCTTGCAATGAACCTCTGGTCTGCTGTATCATATATCATATTGAACTGGCACCCAGCCCTTACACATTTCTACATACACTGGCTATTACTATGGCATCAGAGTTAAAGTATTATAAAGTGTAGCATTGTTCTTTTGAATAGCCCGCTATATGGCAATATAAACATGTCAGCACGCGCAGCTTAGGCTGAATCCAATCGACGTTTGGGCTCCAAAAATAAAGTTTATCAAAGGCCATGATTGGCAATAGAACATTAAGTAATAATTTCTTTAGTATCTAAGAACTTGTCGTTATCGTTTACAACTCTGTTAGCTAGCTGACATTAGTTACTAGAGACCAACAAGAGCAGACAGTTCTACTGGCTAGCGTTGCTCCCACCTCTACACATTACCACACTAACGTACATTAACATTGTTGTCAATGAATAGAAAAGACGAGGCACGCGTTAATCGTAAATTCGACATGTGGAAAAAAAAAAAAGACACAAGGTCCATTATGAGTTGTGTCATGAAAACAGGCTCCATCCAGTGTGGGTCTGTGACTGGTACAAACGTTACTAGGGAGCAGTGGTGGCTACATTAGCCTGCTAGCTGACGCCTGTAGCCAGCCATGACTAGCGTTAGCTAAGAAGCTGGCAGAAGCCTGACAGCACAGCAGAAGTCATTAGCAGTCGTCACGGATCGACAACAAGTTCACTCTTACCAAGGCTCTGGATGCTGTAGGCGTAAACGTGACACCAGGCAGATATATATCAGCTGGATGAACTGGGCGAAGGAGACAGAAGACGGTGGGAAAGAGTGAGTGCAGTGCTCAGCCTCTGTGGAGGTCTTCACCTGGTGCTTCCATGTCTGTTTACCAGACTGCATTCTGGGTCAGCGACGTCACTGCGCTAGCACGCACGCACGCCGATGAGTTAAAGCAGGTTCTCGACCATCAAAGTACTTTTGGTCTTTTATTTTCAATGGAAAATAGCGGAGGTGTCATATAAATTACTACACAGAATACATTGTGTGAAAGATGTTCTTCAGAGAGTTTAAATTGCTGTGGATTACAGGTGCGATTTATTTTTTTGTGCGCATTTATACCTAAATTTAAACTTTTTGACAGGGACATCAAGTTGTAACTGAACCATCTCCATGTGTTGTTTTATTTTGAGAACAACTTAACATTTCAGCTGACTATATGATTGCCATTCAATACACCTGACAATGTAAATAGTTAATTATGATGCCGTGGCCTTAAATGTCACTTAATGTGTCCTTATCAATTTATATCTGCAGATTAATTGTATACTGTACATTTATGTAAAATAAAGGGAATGGATGAGCTGCTCACAACTACAAAAATTGAAACTAGTTGTGGGTTAATTAAACAGCTCTGGAAAACTTCAGAAAACAAAAAAGAATGAATAATCGTGATAGTAAATGCTTTCATCATGTCATTGTGTCATGACGTTTAATGTGAGTTTTTAGGTTACATTCAGATTCTAAAACTAGGCGAGGTGAAGTAGTGCTTCAGGCTTTCACTTTACATATTTGATCCTGTTCTGAGAAAGAGGCTCAAATGAAGATGATCATAAATACAGACCCTTTCGCTTATTTTTTTTAACAAAAGGTTTCACATTGACCCTCCACAGTTGACATTTTGTGTCAATGTTGATGCTGCCCTTTTTTTTATTCATCATGTCCTCTTATATGCACCTTTGGGTTGTATCTTGATTTAGACAATATCCTTTGTTTTTGAATGAGAGTATTTATAGTATGTATAATGGCAGGGCTACATGTTATCTGTCACTGTCAGAGGTATTGAGTTTTAAGAATCTGTTTGGCATTGAGGAAGGAAAACATAAAGCTTTGTTTGTGTTTGTGAAAAGAAACTGGATTAATGAAGGTTATTCAGTACTCATTTTGTTTCTGTTTTGCTTTTTTCCCCTCCCATGGCGGCACGAGGCAGTGTCGGCGTCTCCGGCTTCCTCCAGTATAGTAGTTGGGCGGTACTGTACCTTTAACGATAGTTTCCTCCTGCCATTAAACAAAACGAAGAAGAAGAAAGCATTTTGGTCGATTTTTAGTGCTCTCTTCTGTGGCCAATCACTGCGATTTGTTCTCAGAGGCGGGGCGAGCTTCTTTGTTCACTTCCTGTTGTTCAATAAAGTTTATCTCGCTACAGACATGGGGGCTGTTACAGATGGTAAGTAAAGCTTTAATAACTCGATTTCAGCTCCCAGGTAAAGTCCACGGGTGTGTACCGACGCGTATAAAGTACTCCTATGTACTCAAACGAACTGATTAAACATCTAGAGGCAGCTTGCTTTTAAAACGACTAAATATTCAGCAGCCATGTTAGCTAACGGTTAGCTAACAGCTAGCTCAGCAGCGTTTGAATTTTCCGTATGTATCCGAAAGGTTGTTTGATTCCTGCTTTTCGAACATATTCCAGATGAAGTTATTCGGAAACGTCTTCTCATCGACGGGGACGGAGCTGGAGATGACCGCCGAATCAATGTGTTGCTAAAGGGTTTCACCAAATGGTGCAACTCGCCTGGGACCCCGGAGGAAGGGTAAGTGAGCTCCTTGGACTTTGTCACCTATCATTTAAATAAAAGTGTGTTGAAGCACTTTGCTTTCGAGTCATAAACCGTTTTGTAATTCTGTTCAGATTCACGCAGTATCAGAGGATGATGGGCATACTGGCCCAGTGTGAATTCTCCATGGGGAAGACATTGATGGTGTATGACATGAATCTTCGCGAAATGGAGAATTATGAGAAAATCTACACTAATATAGGTAGAAAATGCATATTATTTTGTATACCATACTCATGTTCCTGTATTTCATAAATCCTATCTTTGCGATATCTAGCAGAAATGGGCCTCCAGTCACCACAAAACAATGTCTGTTTTTTTGTGTGTTACAAATGTGTTATGATAACCTTATCACCACCATGTCTACATTGTAGAACAAAACATCACATCTGCACACGACAAGATAGCAGAATGCAAAAAAGAAATCCAGAGGGCAAAGAGAATACGGAAAAATCGCCAAGGTAAGAATGTTTTCAGGGCTCCAAAATAGAGGAGAGATGTACTACTTGTGTTGTTGTATAGAGACTGAGAAAGTCCAAATTCAATATTGGAGGTGTGGTCCCACCATGTTGAAGTGAAACCAATATGTTTAACATAGTGCTGAAACGGCTGTGAGATCAATCAATCAGCAAATAATAAATTGTGGCAATACATGCTGTCAAAATAATGTATAATATATGAATATTTACATTTAATTGAGCTAGTTTGTATTTCTGCTTTTCTCACATTCACATTTTTTTCTTTTTCATTCCAGAGTACGATGCCTTAGCTAAGGTTATCCAGCAACACCCAGACCGACATGAAACACTAAAGTGAGGCAGCCTCTTATTCGTTTCATTCGTATATTGAGTTATTTTGCTTTCTGTGGTAGAGCAGTTATGGCTTTCATGCTAATGAGATTATGTGCTTAATGTTGGTTTGATCACTTACAGGCAGTTGGAGGCACTTGACAAAGAACTCCAGCAATTGTCTCGCATCAAAGAGAACGTAGATGCAAAGGTACGGCCAATTACATCAGCTCTTCTATTCTAACCTCTAATGTCTTCAATCATTTATAATATTTGAATTTTTCTCTCCCTTTGTTTCCATACAGCTGGAGTTGAGGAAGAAGCAGTTCCATGTGCTACTCAGTACCATACAGGAACTACAGCAGACACTTGAGAGTGAGTAAACATGGACATGGTGGGCATCGTACTTGCAATTGTTTGTGTTTTTCAATGTCCCTGTGTCATCTTCTATATTCTCAATAGCTGTTGATCACTCCGTTGTTAAAGACAAACAAAATGTTGATCCGTTTCCTCTTCTGTCCAGTTTAGTAAAAGTAGAGATACCTATTTATAATATTTTTATTTTCCCTAGATGATGATAAATCGGACAATGACGAGAACAGTCACGAGAGCCCAGCACAGAATGATGAATGAATGTGTAGAGATCCTGACTGAGTGAACCACTTTGAAACATTTTTGTTTTTGTCTTTGAATCCTTTTTGTATGTATTTTTGAATAAAGTAGACTTGTCCATATCTGTCTTGTTCAAGTATTTAACAAAATGGTGGCCTTTCAGACGCATGTCTGTCCCTAAATGGACTTGTACTTGAATAGCGCTTTTCTGGTCTTCCAACCACTCCAAGCGCTGTAACACTTCATGTCATTCACCCATTCATACTCTGATGGCAGGGGCTACCACGCAAGGTGCCACCTGTCCATCAGGAATATATTTAATATTTATTTACATCACTGAGGCAGACAGTTAATTGCAGAGTGTGGAAGACCACATATGCTTATTGATGACTTGGTTAGGATATCTGTTATACTTTTCTGGAATTATTTAGGATTACTTTACAACTCGTGCTTTACTGTCAAACTTGAATTTGATTTGCTATTTTCTCTAAAGCCACAAGGGGGACATAGTTACAACATTTTTTAAGTGTAGTCGTGAGCAAGTTTGATCAACAGCGTTTACCATATTATCAAGAACCAAAAGTCAGTACCAGGCACTATAAGTCAAATGTAAAAAGTGTGTTTAAGTATTTAGTTAGACTCATGGGAAATAAATATGTAGTATTCTATTTAATCATGTCCCAGGTCAGCTTATCTTAACATGAAGCTGCAGCTGCTCTGCTGCTATACTGTCAGATACAGACAGGACAGATCAGGATTGTAGTAATTTTCATTTTGATCATTGTAGCGTCATAGAAATGTTTGTAGTAGATCCATTTATGTTGTATGATCTTTTTAAGTCACTAATTGCTCATGTTAAGAATATGTCCCATCCAAATTAAAAATTACAATTTTGGGAGAACAGATGTTAGATTGACTGGAAAGAGCAAGATGGAATAGCCAAATTAGACAATCAATTAAAGTCAAATTGTTTCTTTATTTAAACAAATATATTTGCAGAGCATGAAAAAGATGCACTTGAAGAAACAAAAACTACCTGTTTAATTAAAGTGGTCCAGCCATTAATAGGAAAGCACTACAAAGCATCTGAACTAGGGCAACTCAGTAATTGAACTGGGTATCTCAGAAACATGGTATGTTACTTAAACAACGCGCTCCTATGATCCCTTTGCCCCGTATAAAATAGCAGGCATTTGATTTCTCTTTCTCTTGGAAAGACAGCAGTAGTACATATTACAGTACATTTAAAACAACTCCCCACTTTCACTGTTCTGACATAGATGTAACATTGAAAGCAAATGTGTCCATTCTACACTGGACAGAATTAAAAAATAACAGCAGAGCAATACTTAAACAATGACCCTACAGGCGCAGTTTGTGTTGGTTCAGGAGAGATAAAATACAAAGGTTTAATTAATTGTGTGACTGAATATTTTCATTAAGCATTGGTTATGGTCTATGGTGTGGTAGCCTGCATGGGCACTCTTGCATGCACACCCATGACAGGCAAATTTAGAGAGGGTTCACACAAGAGGAAGAATCCGCAAATTGTCGGGAAGCAATAAAATGCTGCAGGGATGACATATTTTTGTAGGCCATCCCTGGAAGTTAGCATCGCACTGGTTACCTCTAAAAAAAGCAGATGGGATTTTGGATTATTGCAGGAACACAATTTTGTGATAATACTGGCCTATTTTATATTGTAGAACAAATTAAAACCTCATAAGCTTGTGTTAGACACCTAAAAACCCATTTAAAACACCCATAGACTTTGACGCGAGAGAACCGGAAGTACAAAAATAAACTTTGTGAACCCCCAACGTTACAGTTCAAACTGCGCCTATGCCTGATCTCTGCTAGAACTCCACCAGGAATGTGCGGGCCTTCATGAGGCGTTTAAGGCGACTCTGCAAACCAGCCCTCTGGGTGCCAATGTCACAATCCTCCTTCAGCAAGAACTCAAAGTTCTCCTTGTCATGAAGCATCTGCAGCATCTCCCTCTGCAGCTGGACAGCAGACTCCTGCAACATCTGGTAGCGGATCACCAGCGGGATCTGGTCAGCCAGACGCTGGCTGGCAATCTGAAAGAGTAGAAAGAAAGGAAACTTTGACAAACGACGGCAGAACAAGGGTCTGAACATTTCTGTCATTGTTTTTGTTCAAGAATCATTGGTCTAGATTGAAACATACTTTGTAATATGATTGAAGGTGCAAAATCAGCTCCTGAATTGTTGCATGATTATCCATGCAGTACACAATACTCCTTTCTTGAGATTTGAAGCTTTTCAGTACTTCTTCCTCATCATCCTCTTCCTTCTTCCTGTCACTCAAACTGTTGCTGTAGGTCCTGTCCTGAGAGTAAACGAGCAGCTCCATCTTGAACTGGGTTCTCAGCATGGATTCAGCGGTGGACTCTTTTTCTTGCTTGATGGCTTCGATCTTTGTCTAGAAAATAAGATTCTGGTCAGTCTGAACACCGGCAGAAAAATGATGTAAATAAAATTTCGAGACACTCATAGAAGATGGATACCTTGGCTGTTTTAATAAGGTTAGGAAATCCAATGAAGCTACTTTGGGCCAGCTGAATGAACACCTTCTTAACAGCGTCTGGAAGAATATGGAGATACAAGAAGATAAAGTAGCTTGATCTCCACCGAGCACTTCACTGGTGGCTGTCCAGTATCAAGAGAAAACCTGAATATTAAAGAAAAACATATTACTGGATAAACCTGTCATATATTCAATCATACTACTATCCTCACCGGCTACATCCTTGAGTTTCTTGACAGCCGGTTCTTCCAGCTGTTTGACCTGCTGCTTGACCATAACCTCAAAGGTCTTGTAGTTGATGAAGCCCGGCAGTTCTCTTCCACGGTACCTCTCTTCATATCCCTCCACCTCTTTCTCAATGTTCTGGTTAACTGCAACACAAAAAAAAATATTTCAAAGTCCTGCTGGTGAACAGCTGTAGACCAGATCAAACTGATACATACAGTTATGTCCTGAGCGGTCCAGTTGGGCATTCCACTTCCCAAACTCTCTTCTGAGTGTAGAAAAGACATTGAGCTTGTCTCCACACTTGAGCTCCTCTCCTGTAGTCAGATTGATGGCATCCTGTGTGAATGCTGTCACTTTCTGCAGCACACACATGACAAAGACAAAATCATACATTGTGGTGAGCATTTGTCTTTGTAACCAGGTGAACGTTATGAAGAGTGAGGGAGCTCACATCAATGAGGTAGACAAGTCTTTCAGCTGCGTCAGCTGGGGGTCCACTGCCATATCTCTCCAGCTCTGCTTGAGTTTGTGCAAGTTTCTCCTCTATCTGCTCTTCCAGTCGAGGCAGAGATCTCTGCAAATCAAACGAGGGTCAAAACTTTAACAACTAAAGTAATCAAGTTAACGTTTAACAGACTGTAAATTTATCGGTCTAAGTATTTACCTCAATGTGATGCACCAGCTCAAGTGTGAGTTTCTCAGCCAGTTTAGGAATACAAGCATGACCGTCATTGTAGAGAGTGCTTCAGCAAGAAGAAAAAAAGCTATTGAGCATTATATATTATATGTATAATAAATCACAGCACTAATAATTCACCATGAAAAAACATGTTACAATCACGCAAAAATAATGAACTTACTTGAAATGCACATGGTCGCTGAAGAATGCTTTTTCTCTTTCTATTGCTTCAGTAAGAGACACCCTCTCTGTGATCTCCTTCTGACCCCTGCACTTTACGATCATGTAGCCCTTCTTCAGGTGGATGACCTCATTACGGACAATTTCAACCACCGACTCTTCTGTGCCTTTGTCCACCAGGTCAGGCTTGGTCAAGATACCTGAGAGAGAGAGAGATTGGTTTGCATCCTAAATTGAATCTTATGTTAAATTCTGTTTTTAAACTAATGGTGTATTTTGTCAAAAGCTGAGTACCAACATTCTTTTATGATAATTTATGGGTTTATAAATCATAATTTAAATATTAATAATCGTTACATATCTTGATAATAATTAATTTGTATTTATTAGATCTGCTACCAGCAGCAACGCTACAACACACAGACAGTGAACTATCTAAAGAAAAAGTAACTTTTCTAGAATCAGCCACATTTACCCAAAGTCCTGTCTCCACCAGGATCCACCTCCTGTGCCATCTTCAAAGCCTCTGTGGTTGCTATGTCCACGTTGGATGGAACAACCACCAAGCTGATGGTCTCTTGTTTTGTTATAAACTTCTGGATCAGTCTCTTTATCTGAAAGTATTAATTACAGTTGTTGTAAAGTTATAGATTATAGAATTACCAAATCACTACCACAGATCTCACTGTCATTACTTTTCAACTTTTTGCCAAATAAATTATCTCTATGAAAACTGTTGAAACTGTGTTTTGGAGACACTGGATTAGCATACCTGGTCTCCAATGTTTTCAGGTTGTCCCTTTACAGCCACCCTGGTGATGCCGGGCAGGTCAATGAGCGTCAGGTCTGGAACATCAGGAGAGGCAATTTCTAGACTGATGAGGTCATCACTGATCCCCACCCCGATCCCGGCCAATTTTTCCTGAGCTGGAGAGAGAGGACACAATATTTGACGAGTACAGGATGGAAGTGTTGGTCATTGAAACCTTAAAAACAATCAGTAGCTCCACAAATACTTGGCTTTTGATAGTAGCATTAAAGAACTGTGTATACTGTACCTTCTCTAATCATTTTCTCCACATCTGCAGGGTCTTCTATCTCTTCTTCATAACCTTGGTAGCTTATCTTCCCGTACCACTCCTCTCCTTCTTTCAGTCTCTTCATCTTCAGTTCGAGAGGACATCTTGTCACAATGCCTGAATTAATGAAGAGTGAATGATAATGAGGGGAAAAATGAAATCCAGTGTTCTTGGTGAAATTATAACACTGATATTGTCTTTATAAAAGTGGGAATATTACATCTTCAAATATATGTTCCAGAGATAACACACATGCCAGAGAAGGCTAACACCAATG